CTTTACTCTAGAAATACCTCTCATGCTCCCAAGAACTTCCACCTACTTGAATCATCTCCCTCTACTCTTTCACTTTCAAACTTCTTGAAAGAGAAGTCTATAGTACTGAGTTTCCATTCCAACAATAATTAGTACGTCTTCGACCCTTTCCAATCTCATCATCTCCAATCCTGAAATTGTCCAATCTTTCTCCTTCCCCATTCATCACTCAACTAAGTAATCTACTTCAAAGTCTGTCAGAGCTTGGGAGCAAGTAGTGAGCTATGGAAAGGAAAGAAAGGTTTGGACAATAGCTTCAGGGAACAATGAGAGAGAATACAGGAGAGAAGAAGAGTAGATTTTGGAAGTTCAGGATCTTGGTGACAGTACTGTTCTGTGACATAGTGAGGTCTGAAGCGGGACCATCATGGTTTGTTGTTAAAGTTGGGATAGAAAGGTCATAAATATCGAAGGTGGATGATGAGATGAGCTAATATTTATATAGTGCTTTACAGTTTGTAAAAGTGCTTTACATGTTAACTCATTTGATCCTCACAATAACCCTGTTATGTGTTATTATTATCACCATTTTACTGCTAAGTTAAGTGACTTGCTTAGAGTCACACAGTCTAAGGCAGCATTCAAAGTCAGGTCTTCTTAACTCCAAGTACCACACTCCTTCCACTACGCTACCTCTATGTCTCTGTAGTCTAGTGTCTTACCGGGTTCTGACTTTGTTCTGTCAAGCCCCTGGACCATAAATCATTGCCTCTTTCTTTCCTCTCCTCTGATACTCAGCACAGGATCTTATACACTGTAAGAGCCAACAAAGCCCATAACACAGCTTGTTCAATCTTCTCTTCTTCTTCACACCTCCCCCTCAAATCAACTAGTATTATCAAAAGGCGACCAAGGGCCAGGCACTGGGCTAAGCACGGGGGATAAAAAGAAGGCGAAAGACAGTCCTTGCTGTCAAGGAGCTCTAATGATGGTGGGAAGAACGTGCTACCAGTCTAACAACAGATTCCTCTCTAAGAACTTGCAAACCACCATGCACGACAGGAACACAAATGCTTGCACTCTAACACAAACACAAATACATACATACACACACACACACACACACACACACACACACACACACACACACTCTCTCTCTCTCTCACTCTCTCTCTAACCAAAGTCCCACCCAACTAGGCATTACCCCTGATCTCCCAGACACAACCTCTTCACTGACTGTCAATCAGGACAGCAATGTGGTACCGGATGGGGCCATGTCACTCGTACAGAATCACAGCCAGTATCACACCAAGTGTGTCACGCGTGATCCCCCAGGCATCAGTCACCTCCAGGGTCCCAGGGCGAGTCGCGCACTCCCGAAGACAGGGCCACACCCACGAGGCACACCCGGCACGGCACCCACAGTGTCCCACCAACACGATCACGACCCGTGGACCACACTCAGGAGCGCGCGCGCACACAGATACACACAAGCGCGCACCCAGAAAGCTGCCCCCCCACCAAACTTGCACACACGCCACCCCTCGCCTCACCGCCGCCTCACCCGGTGCTGATAGAGACAGACGTTCCCGAAGCCGCCCGTGCCCAGCCGCTCCCGCATCTCCCAGGGCCCACCCGCGCCGGGCCGCAGCCCCGGGGGCCGGTCCATGGGCGGGAGCGGGGTCGGCCGCACACTCGGCCGCCGCTTCCAGGCCGGCTCACGGCCCCACCGCCGCTCCCACCAACACGCTCTTCTCGCGAGAGCTGACGTCACATCCGGGCGTGGAAAGAACAGGAAATAGCTCATTTCCCTTGGCCTGAGACTCAACGTTCTACGGCCCCGCCCACCTGCGGCCTCACCTCGGGCTCCACCGACCTGGAGCCCTTGCGCCCCCTGCCTTTTGACCTTGGCTCCTGCAAGGGCCCCCGGGAGGCGAGTTTTGGAGGGAGGGAGCGGGGACCATAATTGGACAGTAGAGGGGCAGCGGGAGGTGTCGGGATGCAGAGCAGGTCACCCCGCCAGCCTCTCAGGCCTCCATCCAACCAGAAGCTCGGTAAAACTGTAATGGAGCGTCCAGCCTGATGAAGCTGCAGCTCTGGACCCCCAAATCAAACAGTCAGCAAGCATTTATACTACTTAGGGGCCAGATACTTACTGTCCAGCCCTGGAGGTAGACAGGAAAAAATGAGGGTGCCAGCTCTAAAAGAACATGCCTTCTGCTTGAGCAAAGGTGCCTGATCTTTCCAGGGTCATGGACCCCTTTCTCATTTTAATGTTTTTAAATAATCTAAGGAAATGCTATATTTCAATTAGAGGTTAGTGAAGATGAAGTTGTTTTGGTTTTCTTTTTACCCAACCCAGGTTTATAGGTAGGCCCCCTAAAATGTATCCAGAGTCAGAGTTTATGTCCACAGACCTAGACCTCAGATTAAAAATCCCTTATATTAGGGGATACAGTTTCACAGACAAGCAAAAAAAAAAGGATGTAATTTTTTTTTATGTTAGCAATGGAGGAAGAGAGACACCAACAACAGGAAGAATCAGGAAAAGCCTCAACCTAGAGTGAAAGAAAGGGGAAGAAAGAGGCATTGGAGGCATGGGGAGTAGCTTTTGCAAAGACAGAGATGGGGGATGGATAGTGCACAAAAGGAACAGTAAATGGGCCAGTTTAACTGGAGCGGCATGTGTGTGAGGGGGAGGAATGTGGAATCCAGAAAACTAAGGAGTTTGTATTTTATCCTAAAGGAAGTGGAGATCCACTGAAGTTTCTTGAACACAGATCTGACATAGCCCACACTTGACTAAAAGAAATTTGGCAGGTATATAAAGGGTGAATTTAAGAGGGGAATGAATTGATGTAAATAGGCTAAATAAGGTGACTGTTAAAGTGATGAGATCTTGAACTAGGATCTAGGGGTATGAGTTGAGAGAAGGGGATGGATGTGAGATGTTAAAGAATCCTGGTGGAATTGGCAAGACCTTGCAACTGACTGGTTATGGAGAGTGAGTCAGAGTCAGGTCAAACATGACTCCTAGGTTATAAATCCAGCCAACTGGAAGAAGGGTGGCACCCTTAACAAAGAGAAGGAAATTGAGGACATAACCATTCTCCCAGTCACTAAAGTTCATAATCTCCAACACATCCATACTTTTCCTTTATCCTCCCAGACATCTAATCAGTTGCCATATCTTATCAATTCCACCTCCATACTTTTCACATTAGTCTCCTGCTCTCCATTCATGTTGGCTCTAGTATAGCAAATGGAGTGCAGGACTTAGAATCAGGAAGACCTGGGTTCAAATCTCATTTCATACACTAAGCAGCTTTAATGAGATTGTCACTAAACTTCTCTGGGCTTCAGTTTCCTCCTATATAAAATGAGGAAGTGTAAACTGGTCTCCATGCCCATACATTTCCCTTCTAGTTTAATCTTTGATCTACAATTATATATTGCTCTCCTGCTTCCATTGTGAAACTCTAAGGCACACAAATCTGACCACTGTCTGCTCAAAAACCTTTAGTGCTCCCTTTTCCTACTAAGATAAAATACCAATTCCTCCGCAAAGCATTTAAAACCCTCCATAATCTGGCTCCAATCTGCCTTTCTAGCCTTTTAGTGAAATTAGACTTTCCTAAACTCAATATTTTATCTCCATCTCCATAAATTGGCACAGGCTTGGAACGTGCTCTATCCTCAATCACTCAGAATTCTAATTCACCTTCAAAGTTCAGCTCAGGTGCCATATTTTCGATGATGGCTTCCTTGATCTTATCAGTAATTAATGTTTTTCCCCAACTCAAACTCTCTTTATTTACTTACCTGTATACATATTATGCTCCTCAGTAAGCTTAAGAGTAAAAATTGTTGTTGTTTTCTTTGCCTGGCACCTTTTCTTGGTCAGGACTAGTAATTTCTCCCATTCTAGCAACTGATAGGCAATGGCTAGTCTTAGATTTGCCTGAGGGCATTGAAAGGCTGACTGGCCCCGAGTCACAATGCCAGTACTTTGGCAGGGGCTAGATTTAACTCAGGTCTTTCTAAAGCAGGCCCTTTTTCACTATGTTACTCTCCCTGGAAGGTAGTAGGTGCTTAACAGATATTTACTGAATTGTTAGAATCTCAGTTTTGCTACACATGCGAGACATTGGGAGCATATGCAACCTTTCTGGGCTTCGATTTTCTCATCTATAAAATGAAGGAATTGGACCAAATGCTTTCTAAGGTCTATTTTCGGTTCTAAATCCTAGGATTCCTCCTCTGACCTTCGAGCTTGGCCCTTGCCTACATCCTATGATCTACTCCCTTCTTAAGCTAGTCTTCATGAAGATCAAATGAGATCATAACTGTAAAGCACTTAGCACATGCATAGCAAGTAGTAATCATTACATAAACGTTAGTTGTCATCATTATCTCTTTGCCTTCAAGATCTGGATCCAACCTAGCCCAGTCTTACCCTGCCCATCTCACCCATCTTTCAATGGATAGGGGCATGTAAGAGCACTGAGACAGGGAGAGTATACAGACAAATGAGCAGAGGAATGGGCTGGAATCCACCCACCAGAAACATGGAAAATGATCTAGCTAAGAAGACCGAGAAGGTTAGGCTGCTTGCTTCACGTCTCCTACCAGTTACCCTCAGGGCTTTGGCTTTCTCCCAGATGACCTCCAATTTACCGTCTACAACTACTTTGTCAAGTTGTTTGCATGCTTTCTCCCCCATTATATTGAGCTCCTTCAGAGCAGGGACTATTTTTGCCTTCCTTGCACACACTGCGCTCAGCAAAGCACCTGGCACTTATCGACCTGGCCAGAAACAGGAAAATGCAAAGTGCTTGAGGCCAAAGGAAGAAAGTTCATTAATTGCGGAGGCAATTCAGGAGAGGCAATCAACCAGTCAATCAACTAGCACTGAGGAGGAACTGGGGAGTGGTGACGTGGGAGAGACGTAAAGAGAGACAACGAGAAAGCAGGAGAAGAAGAAAGGGTACCGCAAGAAGGAAGACTTCTAGATCGAGGCAATGGAAGGGAACCGGAAAGAGATCCTTATGGGGCGGGGCCAACAGCGGAAACGGGGGGCCTGGGAGAGAGTGGCTGTGAGGGACGGGGCTAGGAAGAGCTCCTGCTCCGAGAGGTGGGGCCAGAAAGGGAAGGGTGGCTCCTAGAGACTACGGAGTAGAGCCTGGGCTGCGCGGGGGGTAAGCGGGAGGTGCCGCTCCGCTCCGGTGCATGCGCGTATTCCCGGAAGGCCTGTGGCCCACTGGCGGGGCCTGAGAAGGCTCCGGCATGGCGGCCACAGCCGAGGGCGTCCCTGCAGCCCAGCGGGAGGGTCTGGGACGAGGTAAAAGAAGGGTGGGCTTTGGGGAAGGGGCGACCCTCGCCCCGGGATGTTTGTGAAGGAGCGGGGTGAGGTGTTAGAGGAGGCCTGGGGCAGGACGGGGCGGGGCGAGCGGGAGGGGCGGGCCCTGCCCGAGGGCCATCCGCCGCCCCCCTCCCCTTACCGGCTTCTCCGACTCTTCACCTATCCCTTTTTCTCCCTTTCCATCCCTTCCCCTCCCCTCCCCCATCCCCGTCCTTTCTCCTTCTTCCCTTCCCGGCCTAGACGATGCCGTGGTGGAGACGGCCGAGGAGGCCACGGAGCCCGCCGAGGCGGACATCGCGGGGCTGTGCCAGGACATGTTTCCAAAATGGCCACGTACCTAACCGGCGAGCTGACGGGTGAGGCGGGGCGTTTATCCAGGGCCTGCGGTGTGCAAGGCGCTGGGTAGCCAAAGACAGACATGGAGCGGGGGGGCCCCCTGCAGGGTGTCTGGACTCGGCCTTCCGAGGCCTCTATCAGAGGACCCCACCCCCAGTCCCTCCGTCCGTAAGCAGCCCTTCCCCCACTGGCTTTGCTAGCAGGGAGGGGTCTGGACTGGAGGGAGAAGCTCTTTCCTAAAGTATGATATCCAAGCTTTCACCATTTTTTCTTTGTTTTAAAGCCACCAGTGAAGACTATAAACTTCTGGAAAATATGAACAAACTGACTAGCTTGAAGTATCTAGAAATGAAAGATATTGCAGTAAACATAAGCAGAAACCTAAAGGACTTAAACCAGAAATGTAAGTATTTACTTTTATCTTCTCACTGGAAAGCTATTGGGGCTTACTCTATGCCACTCCCCGTTCTGGAGCGCATGGCTTAGTTACGAAAACAAACTGAGTTAGGGGATTGGGGATAGTGCTGGGTGGAGGATTAGGAATGCTCTTTTCACATTTTTCCTGCGTAGAAATTTGCACTCAGGTTAAGTGAATGCCCTGGTCACACAAAGTAAATAACAGAATTGGGAGCTAAACCTGGGTCTTGACTCCAGTTTCGGTTCCTCTTCCAGTATATGGCATGTTTCATCAAGGCCAAGGCAGAGCTCGATGACTTATCATAGCTTACCATCTAGAACATATTCTTTCTAGCATTTAGATTCTCTTTCCAGTGGTGTCTTTCTGCCTTACAAAGAAGGCTATAGAGACATTGTGACGTTATTACTGATGGACAGGAATGGTCCTAGGCCAGGTATTGTTTTCTGTGTTTTGCTGATGATGAAACTGTGGTCTTGTGGCTAATTAGTGGTAAAGGCCTTAACCCAAACCTTCTAACTGCAAATCCGGTACTCTCTCTCTCTTTCCTACTAGTCTCTGTAGGATTCCCACTTACAATCAGCGTCCTGGGTGGCATCCCTTTTTTTAACTCTCGGTGAATTCCTTATACCTACGTAAAGAGATGCCCTCACAGCTGTTAGGTGGCAAGAAGAGATCAGTCTGGACATACTTGTGGAGATGTGTCTTTATTGAGGATGATGTTTATGTCTCCCTAGGCTAAAAGATCTGGTTTGTTTTTGGTTTTAGATGCAGCCCTTCAGCCTCATCTGGATCAGATCACTTTAATTGAGGAGCAAGTAGCAGCTCTGGAGCAGGCAGCTTACAAGTTGGATGCATATTCAAAGAAACTGGGTAATTATTCCATTGAATAATTTGCTTGGAGAGAGAGCACATGCTAATATTTAAGCATATGTCAAGTACGCACTTGGGGGCAGATGTTCTGCTAGGCACTGGGAATACAGAGACAAAATGAAGATAGTTCTTACCCTGTAGGAAGCTTAGATTCTGTTGGGATGAAAGAATATATATGCAGACTATTAAAAACAAAATGTATTCAAAATAATTGAGAAAGAGGAAAATTAGCAGCTGAGAACATCAGGACAGTCTTCCTATAGGAAGTAGAACTTGAATTGAACTTTGAAGGAAGGTAGATATTTTATGAGTCAGAGGAAAGGAGCGCATACCAGACACGGGGTACAACCTGTCGAAGGGTACAGCTGTGGGAAATAAGATGCCTTATGTAAAAAAATAAAGAGGCCGGTTTGGCTTAAATGTAAGGTTGTGAAGTAGAGTGATATGCAATAAACCTAGAAAGGGAAGTTGGACCCTAATTATAAAAACAGAGCAGGTTATAGTCTGTCTTGCAGGAAAGAGGGAACCATTGGAGCTTCTTGGATCAAGGGAATAATATAGTCAACCTGTGTCATTAGGAATGGCCATTTGGCAACTCCCTGACAGAGTCAGGGAGATCAGTTTTCATCACTTAGACTTTTACATTAGATTTACAGACTTGAGCTTGGGTGACAGCTGTGTGAATGAACAGAGTGAAATGGGTGTGAGAGGTATCATGAAAGCACAGTCAAGGATGACTCCATGGTTGCGAATCTAGGTGACTAGAAGGATGGTGATAACCGTACCTGAAGGAAGGAAGCTCAGAAGAAGGTGGGTTGAGGGGCATGCAAAGAAGAAAAAGTATTGAATTTTGTTTTGAGACATGTAGAGTTTGAAATGCATATAGGACATTGATTTGGAGATATAGGTGGTATGGAGGTAGATATAGGTCTGGGGTTGTCTGCATAAAGGTGATAGTTAAGCCCTTGGAACGTGATTGAGACCATCAAGAGAAAGGTGTCCAGATCGAGCCCTCACTTACACCACACATAAATAGGACAAGGGTGATGGACCTGTAAAGGAGACTGATAAGGAACTATCACAGAGGCAGGAGAGAGCAGTGGGGAAAAACCCCAGGACAGGAAGCATCTAGGAGGAAAGGGGAGGGAGGAGAGAGTCAAGGGATCAAATGCTGTGGAGCTGTCAGCACTGGGAAAAGGCCATCAGATCTGGTTATCTCAGAGATCAGTGGCTTTGGAGAGCGGTGTTAAGGTTGGAAGTCCAATTGCAGAGTTAAGTGGAGGGCAACAGGTGTAAATAATTTTTGTTTTTGTTTTTCCCTGGGAGTTTGGCATGAAATTGAGGGGAGAGACAAGACGATAGTTTGAGGGAATGGGATATTCAGTTTTTAAGGATAGAAATAGACCTATTTTTAAATAGTTAAGGAGACAGTGGATAAGGAGAGATTTAACATTTGGGAAGGCAATGGAATGATCACAGGGATAAGCTCCTGAAGTCTTTGAAGAGAGACTGATACCTGCAAAGAAAAGGTCTGTCTCATCTTTAAAGATTTTGAGGTGATCTGGAATGTAAAGTTGAGGAGATGAGGAAACTGCTACCATTCTTTTAATGAAGTATTTAGTTCAATCCTCTGCTGATAAGAAGAGGGTTATTGGTGTAGGTGGCATGAGAAGAAAGAACGTTCAAACAGTTGCCAAGGGAAGTTGGGATAAGAGGCAATCAGGGAAGAATAAAAGAATTAACATAGAGTAGTGAGGGCCATGGTTGAAATTATATGAAATAAATTTGTTATGGATTCAAATTTTATGACCTTTTTATTGATGTGCAGCAGCTTGGATTTAGAAACAGAGAAGATTGGATGGAAGAAATAATCTAGGATTGGGGTTTGGGAAAGGATGAGCCATAGTGATAGAATGGGGTAGGAATATTAAGGGACTTGGGCTAGAAAGGGTAAAGCTGAAATGGTTAACTATAGGGTCAAGATTCTGAAGAAAGAAAAGTGAGGAAGGAACAAGACAGACGACAAGAGTGTCTTCTTGATGTTTAAAGGTTGCTGTTAGGTAACTGAACCTTCTAGGGCATGGCTCGTTTTATAACAATCATGCGGGTCAGCTTTGCCCCAGCACTCACTTAAGTGTTGAATAGACTTTCTTTAGCTCTTTAGACCTGGACTGGTTGGTGACTGGCATGGAATAAGAGGGGTGATTGGGCAGATGGTGTGTCCCTGGTCGTCCCTGGAGGATGCCTCAAGTGTAATTTATTAGTAAAACAGATTGCTGAGAAGGTTTACTTTGAGGGGTTTGGGGACTTAGCAACATTAGTGAGTCTTACCAGAACTATTTTAAACAAAAGCATATTCAGTTATTCCAGTTTTCTAATTGTATGTTTCTTTCAAGCAGGAAGCTAATACATTTGTTAACCACAGTTAATAGTGGTTACAGAGTGCTTACTCTATATCTTCATTTTCACTAAGAACTAACATTGAATACCTTCTTGAGTTGCCTTTAACTGCCTGAAATGGAGCCATCTATTCAGGTGTGGCAGGGAGAATCAGAGTCCTGTACTGGGCTAGTTTTGTATCTGAGCCACAAGAGTCTGTAACTATAATCAAAGGCTAAGGACTAGAGAAAGGTTGGAATCCAAAGAGGGATATCACTTGTGTAGGAGTTTTAAAGATAAAAGAGGACCACAATAGATTGAACCTTGTAACCCTAAAAAGCTACTTTTTCAGTTAGACCTGAACATGGTTCCTTGTAGTGAGGTTTGGGAATGTGGGGCCAAATGGTTCTTCCTACTGTGCTGAAGCTCCAGCCTGTTAATGACAAAAGTTTTTCAAGGCCCTCTCAAAGTGTCTGTCCATGCCTGAGGTGGAGCACAGGTCTGCTGGCAAAGAGCTGCAGGAGCCTAGCCAAGATAAGGCGGGTGGGGGGGAGGCCTAAAAATCTCATAATGGCCTCTAAACTTGCACCTATAGATAGATGGTCCCTCACTTTAAACTGCATATAAATGATTTGATTATATTTCAAACCAGTGCTGATACATTTTTTTTACATTTGCTTAAAATCTGTCTTCCAAAAATATTTGTCAAAGTTTTTTTTTCCTGCAGAAGCAAAGTACAAGAAGTTAGAGAGGCGATGAAAAAATTCATTAGCACAAAGACTTTACAAGAATGTTTCCTAAGAGCTGAAATAAGTGGGATGGAACCTATCACTGTACTTCAGTTTCTAAAAGGAAGCGGTGCTGCTGATCCAAGGAGAATCCCAGCCCTTACCTCTGGTTGGATGTTTAACTTTGACCACCCCTTGATGTTTCCTAAACCTGTAGCCCCTGGAACCTCATCTTATCGTGTGCTTCATTGTGTACCCTGGACCAAGGCTCAGAAATCAGGATCAACCCGGTCGGGAGCAGACACAAAGGAGAGGCTCTCGTCTCCCTGCCTCCTCCCTTCTTCCCTCTCCCCTAGGCCTCCCCCCCCCACTCCATTCATAACCTGTCCCTCAACTTAAATAATAAATGCCGACTTATGACCCTCTGTGTTGAATCCTTCTGCCAGCGGTGGGCTAGACGCCAGGCTGGGGTGGGGGCGGAGAATGAGGTGGACGCATTTTCAGTAAAGGAGCCGCCCACAGCTGTCTAGCTCCACCCTTAGCTCACGATCTTGCGAAGCGAAGGGAAAAGCGGCGGGGTGGGCGCTCTTCTCCGGCCGAAGGCGAAGGCTTTTGTTCTGCCTTGCTTCCCGTACCACGTCAAGTGCGCAAGCTTTCAGGAGGGAGGGTCTGGGACTTCCACTCTAGGCGCTTGCGCACTGGGCCGAGGCGCGAGTGCCGGGCTCCGTGGTTGCGCAGGTCGCTCGTCTGCTCCAGCCGGCCGGGCCGAATGGCTCAGAAGCCCCTGCGCCTGTGAGTGACCCGGAACCGGAAACCCTTGCGGAGGGCAGCTGGGGGAGTGGGAATCGGGGTCGGGCACCTAAGGGTGGGAGAACTAGGCAGCGCCCGCCGTGCTTGGATTCATCTCCCGCTCCGGGGTCGGCTGCTGCCCGCCTCCCCTGGGCCTCCACCCAAACACGCACCCCAGTGTTCGCCTCGCGCCATTCGGTCCATGTGCCAGCCCCCAGACCCATTTCCCTCCCCACCCCCATTCAGACCTTTCCGGGACTCCCCTCATGTCCGCCCCCCGGGACCCACCGCAACTCAGACCCCTCCTCATTTCCGCCCCCCGGGGACCTACCCCCAGGGCTCCCTTCTTGCCCTTTTGCCCCTCCTGCCCTCCCACGGCCGTTGAGTTTCCCTCTGCTCCCCCTCTGTTCTAGTCCACTTTCCAGGCAGGCTCCCCCTTCTTTCCTCAGGCCCATCTTGTTAGGAGACCCGCCACCTCAGGATCCCCTCCTTCCCGCAGTAGTTAAACGGGAGGCGGGGATAATTTAGTAGCACGTATGGGGGGATGTAGTGTTGTTGAGGGAAAATGAATTTGGAGGGAGGCAGTGATTAATAACAGCTATCATTTATGCAGGACTTTCAGGTTTGCAGTGTGCTTTTCAAATGTTACTCATATGTGTTTCTCACAAGCGGCCCTGTTCGGTAGGTGCTGTTATTCTCATTTCATCGTTGGGAAAACTGAGGCAGACAAAGGTTAGGTGACTTGCCCAGGGTCACACAACTAGTGTCTTGAGACCTGAGCTGCTTCATCCTTAATAGGAAAGACCCAACAGTGACATGAGAGGTTCACAGTGGAAAGGATCAGGGAGAAATGACAGAGATGGAAAGGATGCAGAGAAAAGGACCCTCCATGCCACTTAGGGGCAATGTGGGGGAGGAGTCCAAGAAGGATTCAAAGTGATCCTGGGATTTTAAGCCTAGGTGACAGGAAGAACAGTATGATGATAAAAACAGGGAAGTGCAAAGGGAGAAACACTTTTTCAGAGGAAGGCCATTTTGGTTTTAGAGATGTTGAGTTTGAGGTGACAGCGGGACACTCAGATACCAATGTCTCACAGGCAGATGGAGTTACGGAACTCAGCTCAGAGATAACCCTAACTAAAAAGATCAGAAATCCACACGAGTGCAGTAAGAGCTGTTTGCACTAAGTTCTACAGGTGTTAGTGTTAACTGAACGTTTCTCTCTTGCCTACAGGCTGGCTTGTGGCGATGTAGAAGGAAGGTTTGATGTTTTATTCAATAGAGTCGGAACAATTCAGAAGAAAATGGGAACTTTGATGTAAGATGTTTCTTTTCATATTGAAAATTAATGCCATTGCCCCAGGAAAACTTGCAGAGACAAATTTCTTGGGTTCCTAATTTAATAAATCTGTTTTGTGGTCAGGGTGAATATCTGTTGTAAGCCCAGAACTGTTCTAGATGGAGATTGAAAAAAATGTCCAAAACAGATAACCTGGTGTCTAGGTCAGCATTTCTCAACTATCTCCTTGCTCTGTGGCACAGCCATAGGCTTCCTTAGTCCCCTTTGGCAATTTTTGACTAGGGGTTAGGGGATGGAATTGAAGGTGACTCCAGGAGAGAAGAGTACAGTTTGGGGTTTAAGTGTAATATGTTTTATTATGGTTGGATTGTTTGATAGGGCTGAGAACATAGACACTCCCTGTGTGTTTCATTGATTCAGCTAAACAAAATTTATTGTCTGCTCTGTGCCTGGCACTGAGCTAGGCAGGGGAGATACAAAGACAAAAATGACTTGGTCCCTGTCCTCAAGGAGCCCGCACTGGGGGATAGGAGGGGAAGGAAGAGGACAGAACGTAACCCGTACACAGATAAGTTATTGTGAAAGATTTACAAGATGAAACAGAGTAGTTTGAGAGGAGGAGAGTAGTGCTATGGCTGGGGGAATCAGGAAGGGTCTCTTCGAGGTGGTACTTAAGCTGAGTTTTGGAGGGAAATAAGCATTCCAAGAGTGTCAGTGAGGAGGCCAGGCAATCCAGGGATAGGAGACAACTTGTACAAAGGTATAAGGCAAGAAAATAGACTATCACGTGTGGGAAACAACAAGTAGGCCAATTAAGTTGGAATATAAGCCCCTTCAAGATAGTCACATGCCATGTAAGTGACTAGTGCACATAGTAATGAGGGGCCATAATAATAGCTAGCATTTCTACAGTGTTTTAAAGCTTGCAAAGCACTTTAAAATATTATCTCGCATGATCTTCACAACATCCCTGAGAGACAGAGGCTATTATTATTCCCGTTTTATATAGATGAGGAAACTGAAAGCACGTGGAGATTAAGTGATTTACCTAGGATCACACAGCCAGTAAGTATCTGAGGCCTGACTTCTTGACTTTGAGACAGTCATCTATCCACTGTACCACCTGGCTGCCATAGTAGAAGATAAATTAGAATGGAGTACAATTAGCAAAAATCATTATCTTAGAGAAGGTGATTTTTGAGCTGGGTTTTGAAGGACCATTAAGGTTCTATCCTGGCTCCTCTTCTCTCTCTACATTTTCCCTTGATGATCTCATCAGCTTCTATTGATTCAATTATCATCTCTCTTTGTTTTTAAACTTTTTAAAAAATTTATTTATTTTTAGTTTTCAACATTCACTTCCGCAAGATTTTAAGTTCCAAATTTTCTCCCCATCTTGTCCCTACCCCCACCCCAAGATAGCATGCATTCTGTATACCCCTTCCTCTAATCTGTCCTCCCTTCTATCTCTCCCCTCCTTCTCTTATCCCCTTCCCCTTCAGTTTCCCTATAGGGCAGGATAGATTTCTGTACCCCATTTCCTGTATATCTTATTTCCCAGTTGCATGTGAAAACAATTTTTTTTAACTTTTGTTTTTAAAACTTTGGGTTCCAAATTTTCTCCCTTCCTCCCTCCCCACCCACCCTCATGGAGAAGGCAAACATCTTGATACGTTATGCATGTGTAGTCATGCAAACACTTACATAGTAGTCATGTTGTGAAAAACTAAATATATTTCCCTTTATCTTATCCCATCCCCATTTATTTTATTCTCTCTTTTGATTACCCCCTCCCCCAATCTGCCCTCCCCTCTATCATCCTCCTGCTCTCTTGTCCCCTTCCCCCCCCCCATTTTCCTGTAGGGTAAGATACATTTCCATACCCAATTGAATGTGTATGTTATTCTCTTCTTAAGCTAAATCCAATGAGAATGAGATTCACTCATTCCCTCTCACCTTCCCCCATTTCCCCTCCACTGTAAGAGCCTTTTCTTGTCCGTTTTATGTGAGATAATTTACCCCATTCTACCTCTCCCTTTCTCCTTCTCTCCATATAGTCCTCTCTCACCCCTTAATTTTATTCTCCAGATATCACCCCTTCATCTTCAACTCACTCTGTGCCCTCAATTTATCTACTATCTATCTATGTCTATATCTATATATCTATCTACCTATCTATCTATATCTATCTATCTATCTATCTATCTATCTATCTATCTATATATATATATATATATATATATACACACATACAATTTTTTTTCCTCCCACTACCCTAATACTGAGAAAGGTCTCATGAGTTACAAATATCATCTTTCCATGCAGAATGTAAACAGTTCAACCTTAATAAGTCTCTTATGATTTCTCTTTCCTGTTTACCTCCTCATGTTTCTCTTGAGTCTTGTATCTGAAAGTCAAATTTTCTATTCAGCTCTGGTCTTTTCATCAGGAATGCTTGAAAGTCCTCTATTTCACTGAATACCCATTTTCCCCCCTTAAGGATTATGCTCAATTTTGCTGGTTTCAGTTATCACCTCTTTACAAACAACCTCTCAAATGTCTATGTCTCCTAAGCTCCAGTCCTATCACCAACTGCCTCTTGGCTACCTTTCCTTGAATGTTCCCTTGAATATCAAATTCAATTCTTTCCCCACCTCATAAACTTCCCCTGTTTCTGTTGAGGACATTATCATCCTTCTAGTGTACCTTCAGAACCTCAAGGCCATTCTTCTGCTCTTCCTTCTCTCTGACTTTTCTTATTGAATGTATTCCCAAGTTTTGTTCGTTCTGTTTCCAGAACGTCTCTCATGTCCATCCCTTTCCTTCCATTCACATCCATTCCTACCATCTTACTTCAGGCTCTCATCACCTCTCTCCAGGACTATGCATTGTTTCCAAATTCTAATCTCTCTACAATCCATCTTCCTCACATCTGCCAAACTAGTATTCTTAAAATACAGATCTGGCCATGTCGTCCGACTACTAAACAATCTTCATTGTTTTCCTATTGCCTTTTAGATAAAATATAAAGTCCTTAGCCTGGCATTTAAATCCATCCATAGTCTGACTCTCACCTACTTTTTAGTCTTTTTTTTTTCCATGTTAATTCCTATCAAACTCTCCTTTCTAGTCAGACTAGTTTGTTAATTGTTGAGGACATTTCCTCATTTCCCACCTCCATTCCTTTAGTGAGTGTTTTCACGTATCAGGAATGCCTCCTTTCTCAACTCTACCTTATAGCTCGTTTGAAATCACACCTCAGGTGGTACCTCCTACATGAAGTCATTCTTGATTGCCCTAGTTTTTATGCTATGTCTTTCTTGAAATCATGTTGTATATACTTTGTAGTTACTTATCTGTCTACATGTTGTAACCTTCTTGAGGTGCCTTGAGGCCAGGCACCATTTTGTTTTGTTGTTGTATCTCATCACTGAGCCAAGTACGTTGCAACGGTAGGCACTTGAAAAAAAATAGTTAATACACAAGGGTTAGTGGAGAGGAAGATGCATTAATAACCTAGGCTTGACTGAGTAATGAACTATATTCAGAGATAGCAAGTATATTGACTCAACTAGACAAAAGACCATTGGGGAAAAACAAATGATGTCTTTTTTTTTCTTTTAACAAATGATGTCTTCATTCTGACACATTACTTCAGTTACATTTAACAAACGTTGAGTGCCTTTCTATGCAGAGTACTGTGGAGGGATACAGAAATTAACAAGATGTGTTGTTGCCTGCTTTCAAGGAGTTGACACTTTAGTAGGTAGTGTCCAGTAGCATAGTCTCCTAGCTGCTTCTTGGCTGCCTTGTCACCCGCACATCTCCCCATCTTTAAAAAGTCCTCACTTGATCTGTTTGTCCTTGCTGGCTATTCTCCTATAGCTCTTCTCCCTTTCCTAGCTAAAGTCATTTATGAAGCTGTCTACAATGAGTACTTCTATTTTTCTCCTTTCGCTTCTAAAATTTCTACTGTTTAGCTTCCAGCCTCATCATTTCAGCTGAAATGACATTTTCCAGTTACCAGTGATGATCTCTTTAATTGTCAAATCTCATGGCCTATTCTCAATCGTCATCCTTCTCAAACTCTCTGCAGCCTTTGATAGTGTCAGTCACCTCTTCTCTGTGATCTGGATTAAATGTTTTATAACCACTTTGAGAACCAATACAGAAAAGTTACTGGATAGATCAGTTGCTATTGAGGGTGAGCTAGATGTAGGAAAATCTAGATTGCCCAGAAAGATGCTTCAGGAAACTTTCCTTAGCACTTATTGCTTTGCAATTATTCGTGACTTGGGTGTTCCAATCCATACAACCAGGTAGAACAGAACCATTTGGATAGTCAGTCAGCAAAAAGGTTTAGAGACTAGTACTGGAAATTTGAATGTTGATGACCTGCTCTTTGTGATGTGTTTCTTTCTGTGACTGTGTCTTTAAGGGGAGAGAGAGAGAGAGAGAGAGAGAGAGCAGAGATAGTGAGTACCATAAAGGGCAATAGGACTGATACCTGGAGAATATGTTGTTATCTTCTCCCAATTTGAATTAGTAGCTACTCTGGCAATGAAAGGCGACATAGATTTGTGCTTACTAAGGATCTGAATAGTTTATATTTGTGGTTTAGATTGCACAAAACATTCACAGAGTTAGAGCCCCATCACAGAATTGTTGCTCAACTTATGCAGATTGGTTTTGACCATTTGGAGATGTTAACCATGAAGACTGTATATTGACCGCATTTTTGTTATATTTGTCTGCTTTAAAATCTCATTTTAGCTGCTGTTGTGTGTAGGTGACTTCTTCGGTTCTGCACCAAGTACTGAATGGGAGGAATACAGGACAGGAGTCAAGAAAGGTACAGAAATTACTACTTTGAAACATAAGTACCAGAGTACCAAGGATTTGTGGTCCTGGTGTGTTTTACCTATGTATTGTCGCTTAAGGATTTCCTCCTTGTGCCAGCTCAACTCAACAAGCGTTCATTAAGAGCCTACTATGTGCTGGCCACATACACAGACAAAATGGAACAGCCCCTCCCCTCAAGGTGCTTATGTTCTACTACATCCTGCACATTGAGACGGAAAATGCTCAAGTCACAGATTGAGTGTGGATTTTATAGTGTGAACCTCTCTGTATGTACATTGTATAAGATGTATACCATCAATTTGACAGATCAAGTCTTCTGGGACTCTTCATTCTTCCAGTTTTGGTCCTTTTTATTATGTCATTTGCAGCATCCATTTTTATTACATAAATTGGTTACCTCTATTGTCCAACAATACTTAGCAGCCAGTCCACAAGCATTTATTAAGTGCCTTTATGCCAAGCACAGCTGGTGAACGTTGGGCACAGGACATACCCTGGAAGGGAGTTTGTGTATCACATAGAGCTGTTAATGGAGTGGTAATACAAATTTTTTTTGCTTTTGTTAAAAATGTTACACATGCATAGAAAAATTTTCTCATGCGCAGAAGTACATCCAGTAATTATATGATGTTTCTTGTTATCTCTTTTCCTCTGCAAAGCACCTATTCAGACGTATGTGCTCGGTGCTAATGACCAGGAAGCTGTCAAGTACTTCCCAGATGTTGATGGATGTGAACTAGCTGAAAACATTACTTACCTAGGTATGGATCAGAAAAGGTTGCTGTAGTGGGCTCACAATGTGGTTTGATAAAATGGGCCTCTGGCAGCCCCCTCTGTTACACAGGAAAGTAAGAGCAATTTCTTTGCCAAAAACCATGACTGTGGGGCCATAGCCTTCCTCCTTTTTTTCCCTTTCTCTGCTAATATTCCCTTTTTATCAGATTTCCTTTTCCAGTTTCCTGTGCTCTTTTGAACTTCTGCTTTTTCAGTCTGATCCACTTTCTTTTTACTGATCTTTAGCTTTGCTATGAAGTTTTGGAATTTCCTCCAGTCCATATATTTCCCTAAGAATCACCCTCTGGGACTCATTTCTGTTTATCTGGTCATGCAGAAGCCATGTGTATGTAAAATCCAGTTATTATAGTATGGTAACTCATGCCCCCAGCCTAACAGTATCACTGTCAGTTCATGTATGTTCTTTGGGAAGGTGGGGGGGCCAGCACCATCGTATGGAATCCTTTCTTTAGTCCCTGTCATACAGGTCTCATTTTAATCCCTCCTTCTTTCATACAGTTTCATAGTTTAAGGCAGTTGTAGAGCAGTTTTCAGCCTGGTCACTACAATCTAACCGAGAATGACAGCCCAGTCCCACATGGTAAAATTGTTCTCAGGAACAGAGTCATGGCAGGTGTGACAGAGCAGTTGGAACTCTTAAATGGTTCTAATGAAAGGTGAAGGACTTGAGAGTAATAGTGGAATAGAGTTTTTGAATGAGGCTTTTAAACAGAAGAATAAGTGAATGATACATGAATTGAGCATTAAGTGAGATAACCATGAAGAACGCTTAGAAGTCATTGCCAAACATGAAATAATCAGATTTTTTTCAAGATACCAAGTATCTGTGACTCCGTCCGTGTGTACGCTCCTTCCACAAAAGCAAATCACAGCCCCTTCCATGCCATAGTTGACAGCTTCCTGATTTGGCTGTTGATTACTTGGTGGCCAAGGCCTGGGGGAGGAGTGTCTCTGCCCTGAGTAGCCTGGTCTATAGGATAACAGTCCCACAGTTTGTTGCTCGGTCCAAACGTAAGCCTTTTTAGCTCAGTAGGATCTGCCAGAGTTGGCATCATAACTTTTGTGAACCAAGGGCCAAAAACTTCACTAAGTGCTCTTACTCCCACAGCCTCGCCTTCCCTCTAAAGAGAGCTGTCTCTCTTGATGGCCTTACTACCCTCCTAGGGAACCTAAGCTCATGATTTTATCTTTGTCTGCTTCCTCTCCCTCACCCCGCACCTCCAAACAGCTGCCAAGTCCTATTGATGCTGCTTCACTGCTCTTTCTGGTATCCGTCCTGACTTCTCAACTCCCACTGTGTCCCCCTTTCTTCACACTGTCATTTCTTCTCACCGACCTATTGTTGTAGGTTCCTAAACGATTTGCACACATTCAATCTGTCCTTCGCAGCAGTGCCCAAGTAGTCTTCCTAACACAGTGTTGTCAGGAAACCTTCAGTAGCATTTCCCTTTGCCTACGGAATAAAACAGAGCAGCTAGTTGGCATAGTGGGTAGAGCACTGGGCCTGGAGGCAGGAAGACCCGAGTTCAGGTCCAGCCTCAAACACATGCTAGCTATGTGACCTGGAGCAAGTCACTTCACCCTGTTTGCTTCAGTTTCCTCATCAGTAAAATGAGCTGGAGAAGGAAGTGACAAACCACTGTAGTGTCTCTGCCAAGAAAACATGACTGGAACAGCTCGAGGGCAGCAACAGAAAATACAGTGCAAATTCTTGATCCCGGCATTCTAGGCCCTTCACAGTCTGCCTTCAGCCCAGCTTTCTGGCCTTATCTTCTTCTCTGGCTTGCTGTCCTTCATCTGAGCTACTCCTGTTCTCATCTTGCCCTCTCCCATCTCTATGCTTTATTCAGCTCTTATCTCCCAGTCCTAGAGGGGGCTTTCCCTTTGTCCCTTCTCTCTGGTGCCCATCTCTGTTGAAATATCGTTTTTCAAGTTCTGACTCGTGTTTCATCTGGAAACTAGAGGCAGGAAGAGCATAGCTCCAGAAAGCAGTCAATTGGGCACTGAGTTTATTAATTGTATCTGCATCACCCATTTGGGGAACAATGGAAGAAACGACCTACATAGTACCTAGACATTGTTTGTAGTTACTACAAATCTAAATTTAAAAAAAAATAAAGTTTTACTGAACTTTAGAAAAAAAGGTTAAGAATTGTTGAGAAAACAAGTAAGAGTCACTCAAGATGTGAAGGCCTAGATAGCCTGAAACGAGCACTATGGCAGAGTTCCATCGGCAAGAACCTAGATCCATGAAATGAAATGACGTGATTTGTCATTGTAAGTAAAGAAAAGCCACATCTAGTATATGACCTTCAACTTTCATAGTGTTTGTAATAAACTTTATTTTTCACCCCTTTCGTTTCCCAGTGTGTCCTCCCTCTTTTTGTCTTCTATAACAAAGAATAGAAAATATTTTTAAAACTATTCAGCCAAAGGAGCCAAAACATTGAAAAAGTTAACATTGTCTCTAAAGTTCCACAGCCATAATTCTCCACTTTTCTTAAAGAAGAGAAGGAAATCTCTTCTCATAGCTCTTCTTGGGGGCCAACCTTGGCTATTATAATTTTCACAGGATTCATTTTCGTTTGTTTTATTGCTCTTTCCATTTACATTGTTGTTACCTTGAGTCGTAACATCTATGTTTATTGCATCTTATCAGTGTCTTCTGGTCTGTCTGTCTTTTCTAGATTTGGACAGAGATCCAAGGACAGCTTGGGAGGTCTGACTGTCTTCTAATCTGCATAAGACTCAGGGCTAGTAACACAGCAATCTGAATTTTTTTCAGAGTGCCTGAGGAAGTGATAGTGAAATATGCAAATAACCATATTGTTTGATGGGAAATTTATGGCTATAAACTCACAGTAGTTCATTGTGTAATTGTGATGGCATAGGTCACTTTCTGCCTTTTTCCCACTGTCTGTGAAGGACTTAGGATTGTAGCTTTGTCAACATAGACCTCTCTTTTCTCCGTACCCCTTTCTTTTTAGTTAGCCGGTGATAGCAAAGCATTCAAACCTGTCTTTTTATATGATTATAGGTCCATAGACTGTATTTAAAATCTACTGTAAGAGATACACCTTAAAAATAGTTTTTTAAAAGAGAGAGAAGCCTTACTGTCTCTCTTCATCTGTCCAAGGCCAGTCCCTTCCCAACCTAGATTGTGCCCTAGTTCCCAGAGAAGTATAGTTTTTTTCTCATTCTGTTCTGCATCTATTCCTCTTCTGGCTTGGATTCTTTTCTCCGCCTAATTGAGTGGTACATCTTTAACAGTCCCTGGTTTCACCCATTGTTAAATTTTTTTATTTAATGCTTTTCACCAGTTCTCTTGGGGTCCTCTTAGATCTGTTATTCTGTCAGACTCAATTTATCTAATATTTTCTGGAGGAGGAGAGGCCTCCCTTTCTTACTTCTTAAAAAATTATTAACCTAGCATTTCATATATATTTATTATATATATAACCCAGCCCTGACACAGAATTCACAGCCACTCACAAGTGCTTGAGGTATGTGGGCCATTCACCATGACAGTCCTGCTTTTGTTCTAACACTGTAGCTAAAACTTAACAGTTTTTTCTCCATGTAGGTAGAAAAGGTGTTTTCACTGGTGCCTCAGGCCTACAGATTGCATACCTCAGTGGGACAGAGTCATTGGCTGAGCCTGCTCCACCTTACAGCTTTACCTCCAAGGATGTAAGCTCGTTGAAGGCAGCTTTGCAGTCCGCATCGCAGTTTAAAGGTGTTGATGTCTTGCTGACATCCCCATGGCCCAGGGGTGTGGGGAACTTCGGGAATGCTTCTGTGAGTAGTAATTCTTTTCCATTTGGGATTTTTTAACAACTTCCTTATTATGATGATGTGTCATATTGATAAACATCAACAAATGTAAATATTTCCCCTCTACAAAGAAGAACGGAAAAAAGACTGAATATGAAACTTTGACCCTCCCAACGTACAGCTTTTTTTTGTCTAATTGAGATTTCTGGAAGCAAATTGTCCTGCAATTGGTTTTGTGTGATCTGTGTTGCATGTTCCAGGTTTTAACATATTTTAGTTAACTCAGACCCTCCCTGGACTTTTTCAGGAACCACAAGGAATGTCACTCTCTTATTTGTGGAGTTCCTAGAGGTCTCTAGTTGGACAATTCTCATTTAATATTATCATAAATGATCTCTAAGAGGGCATACAAATGAAATCCCCAGTGTGCCAATGGCAGACCTTACAAGGAATGGGATGCCAAATCAACAGGAAAGAATTTGACTCTGTTTGGTCAGAAAGCTGTCCAATGAGCTTCAGTATGAGGAAGTGTAAGGTGCGTCAGCAACTCAAGGATCTGTAATTTTTTCAATATGGGCGCTCCTTCCACTGATACAAATTGCAGCCCCTCTGTATACTCTAGATGACAGTCTTGATGAACTTCTGAGGCTGAAAAATTCTTCTCCTTTCAGCCAGCCATCTGATGATGCATCGCTGATCTTAGGTAGCCTGAACTTTGGGTGATAGACAAGAATGCCTGAACCTGTATTTGAAACCTTTTTACCCTGAGCTTCTGCTTGGATGACAGAGTCATTAAGAGCCCAGCTCTGTACCACAGTGAGGCATCAGGAAACCTTGAGTAGTGGGCATGGGAGTACCTTCAGGGGATTCAGGGCTATCAGTGATAGCCTTATACAATTTCTGTAGACTGGGCCCTGAATATATCAGCAGTAGGCTGCGATGAGCCTGACTTCCTCACCATCATAAACTGTAAACAAGCCAATGCTTTCTCTCCCCCTTGTACAAACCCATGGTATCACCAAACCTGAAAGCCTTTCTACATTGAAACTGGTCTCTGCACATCCTGGGGAATGACTTGAAGCTGGTGAAGAGCCAGTGAAGGTATCAAAAATGATCAGAGGGGAAGAGAGGGTACTCATATATAAGAACAAATGCCAAAAGTGAGATTTCTTCAGCCTGCAAAGGGGAAGACAGGAAATATTAAGAAGGTGGATAAAATCATGCAGCGTGGTCATGAACATAAAATGGATTTGTTCACAAAATCTTGGAATATTAAAACTAAGAGCCTCACCCTTAATGCTTGAAAAAGGCATGTTTTAGGAAAGACTTTATGTAGAATGGCACAGACTTCTGTGTGCTAACAAGTGGAATAAACTGCAATCACATAGGTTCAATAAGGATTATTGAAAGCGTGTAGATAATTGTTCCCAGAAAAGGTTATTTAAGGGACATTCTGACCTTTGAGGTCCACTCGTACTACCGTGTTCAATTTTTGTAGCACTGAATTAATTTTAAAGCATTTCCACATTATATCACTTGATCATTACAAGTATTTACCCATATCTTATAAAGAGAAGAAAACTGACACAAAGGGGTTAAATGCTTTGTCCAGACCACCAAGTGGCACATTATAGACTTGGACTCGGGTCTTTAGACCTCTCCAACCCTCTCTCACCCCCAAACCTCCCCACTTGCCATCACACCCACCAATTCAGTGCTATCTTTTTTTTCTCCCCTCCTTCCCAGTCTTATGAATGCTTCTGTGAGTATTTCATACAAACTATTCCAAAAACATCTGGCACCTGAGGATTTGACTTGATTTTGTGTTGACCAAATCATCTCCTAATGTCACCCTTGTAAGGAGGTCTGTGCTTGGCCTTCTACAAAGAAAATTACAATAGCATGCCACATTAATTAGCAAGAGCTAATTTACTTTCCAGCTTTGTTTTTAATGATTTATTTTGTGTGCAAAGGTTGAGAGGGGGCCACCTCCAACTCCTCATTTGTGATCCACATATGACCTAGTTCTCTTTTTGTTATTCAAACTTGTATGATTACTGCAAGTATGGACACTTAACACAATATGCTTATATTGTGCCTGCCTGCATGATCATTAAGATCAGTCACAGAGGACACTATTTTTCTTTTACAGGGAGATGTGGATACCAAGAAAAAGGGTTCCTCTTTGATCTCCCATCTTGCCATGGACTTGAAGCCCAGGTATCACTTTGCTGCCTTGGAAAAGACTTATTATGAGAGGCTTCCTTATCGGTAGGTATCATTTTTCTTTTTAAAAAATTAGTATGTTTTGTTTTTACATCACCTTCATTTCTGAATATATCTTACCCTCTTCCGCTGCCCAGTGAACCATCCCTTGTAACAAAGAATTTTTTTAAAGGTGGGAAGGGAGAAAGTAGTTCAACCATAAAATTAAACAGCACATCAACTGAGTCTAACAATATATGCAGTGTTCCACTAGGGGTATATAATTTCATAGTTTCTGCCTAAGGAATTAAGCTTCTACAACAGAGATTTCTGATTTTTTTGCATGTCGTAGGCCCATTTGGCAGTTAGGTAAAGCCTGTAGACCCATCTTAGGATAATGTTACCTCCTTAATTGAAGGAAAAGCTAAATTTCGTTTAGAGCTGAGTGAAAATAGAGATGTAATTTGTTTCCTGTCCACATTCATGGACCACCACCACCCCACCCCACCCCCAGAATTTATCCCAAGAGCTCTTGGTGATTTGTGAGCTCCAGTTAAGAACCCCTGCTCTAGAGTTTGGAGCAAAGCCATACACAGTTACAGCTTTTATAACTTTTATAACATTTATAACTACATTTACTTACTCTTAAGACAAAGTTTTCCAAAAATTTCCTGGGAATTCAGGCTGTGGCCCTTTTGTATAGACTTGGAAACTCCCATCATTAGTAGTTGCTTCAGAAGCATATCTGAGGATTTCGGTATGGAAGACAGCCAGGGAAGGACAGTACCAATACCTTCTATGTGAAATATTCATGTGTAACTAATGAAGAAGCTGGTTTGGATAATCTGCATTTTACTTGGCTTTGAATTTTGTTCAATATACATGTATTTTCACTTCAGATAATAAAGCTACATGGTGAAAACTTGTTTTAGGATCACTAGGAGACTGCCTGGTTAGATAATCTGTTCCCTGCTTTCCCTCTTCCATGTCCAATGGATATGAATCTTTTAGCTCAATGTAAGATTTGCTCTAGGTTGGAATTGCTTCCCCCTCCCAGAACATCAGAGCTATGGTCCATTAGCAGAGAAGTAAGAATTGGCTGTATTATTTCCAACTTTCCATTGTCCCACGCTAAAATTGCCTTTTTTCAGATGCTTCCTCCTTCAAGAAAGTTGCTTTTCAGTCTTTATCCAAGCATAGGCATTATCTGTGGGAAGGAAAAAGTTATGCTAGAAAGTAAGATCAGAAACAGGCAGTGAATTGAAATGAGAGGAGTTAGTTCTGCTGACAGTTGAGCCTCCTGACTAACCGCTGCGCAGGGAAGAGCCCAGGTTTGGTTCAAAGTGCCTTTGGGTGTCCTGACTTCCCTAGAAATAGGGAAGAACAGGGATCAGCAAACTACTCTGCCTGTTTTTGTAAAGCCCAGGAGCTAAGAATGATTTTTACATTTTAAAATAAGGTTTTATTGTGTTTTAAAGTGTGAAAATCATTCTTCTTAGCTCTCTGTTGTACAAAAACAGGTGAGGGGCCAGAATCAGCCAACTCCTGGTTTGGAAAGAGACCTTAGAGAAGGTCTGAAACCCAGAGAAGATTTTAGGGAAGGATTTGAAAAAGAGGGCTTTCTGGGGGAATGGCAGTTATTCCAAACTAATCTTATATATCAGCTCACAGCCAGAGCATGGTCAGATCATGTAGAACACACTGGGGGTATTGGGAGGAAAGATAGCATGTAGAGTTGGGCTGGATAGCAGCAGGGGCTGCTTCCTTCTTGTCTTGGGGCACATTGGAAGTAATAAAGGATTTCATGTCATGTCTTTAGAAGGAGGTCCTGCTTTCATGTCCTGTGGACGATGCAATTTTAATAGCAAGCATAATGATAGTAGCAGCTAGGTACCATAGTGAAGAGAGTCCTGAACTTGTAGTCAGTATATCCTAGTTTTAAATCCTGCTTCAACACGTACTAGCCTGTGCAGATCACTTAATCTTATATGTAAAATGGGGATAATAAGAGCACCTTGCAGGTGAACCTGTGCTAAGAACTTTGCAAACCTTGAAAGCATTATATAAATATTAGCTCTTATTATTCCTATACCTTTAAAGAAGTCAGATCTGAGGCCGCTATGCCATAAGAGGAAAAGAGAACTCTCACTGATAGAAACCATTTACAGAATACTGGTAAGTGGAATATAAAAGTTGTTTGTATCTTTTTTTCTTTCAAATCTGTTATAGAAACCACACAGTCCTCCAGGAAACTGCTCAGCATGTTACCCGATTCATAGCTCTGGCAAATGTTGGAAACACAGAGAAGAGGAAGGTAAATATGGAATCACTGGTATTGTGCCCAGTAGATTATCCTCCAGACAGACGCCCACGTGCAGGACAGCAGCATCCAGATGCTGTCCTTTGAGAAGTGCTACAAGTCGATCGTCTGTTCTCACCAGTAGCATTGTCTTGGTCAGCAAGGTTCCCAGAAGCCTCAGAGAGTCCTGACTAAGTGCCTGGAGTGAAAAATAAGAATGTAAAAGCCAGAAGGACTCTGCCCTTCAGAGGGCCCAGCTTTGCTTCCCAAATTCATTTGTTAGACTGTCATTACTACTGCTGTTGTCCTGTGCTCGTGCCATCTTTTATATGCATTAGACATAGCGTCTCTGGTTTGAGATTCTGCGTCTAATGCATACACATATAAAGAAAAAGATAGTAGGGAAGGATTTGGGGAAAAGTGGCCAAATGAAGCAAAGGCACCCATTTTATAAATCTTTCCGAGAAGACTGGCTTCTTGTCCTAGAACTGTTCTTTGGTGTCTTTAATTATTTCACTGATACTCTTTTTGTTATTGTTTTTTTATTTTTATTTTTTTCCACCTAATAGTATTTTATTTTTTCCAATTACATGTAAAGATGGTTTTCACCATTCACTTTTATAAGATTTTGAGTTCCAAATTTTTTTCTCCCTCCCTCTCCCCTCCCCAAGACAGCGTGCAATCTGATACATGTACAGTCATTTAAAACATATTCACACATTAGTCATGTTGTGAAAGAAGAATCAGAACAAAAGGGAAAAAACACAAGAAAGAAAAAAAAGAGAGAAAATAGTATGCTTCGATCTGCATTCAGACGCCATAGTACTTTCTCAGGATGTGGATGGCATTTTCCATTTTGGAATTGTCTTGCATCATGGTATTGCTGAGAAGAGCTAAGTCTATCATGAGTTGATTATGACACAGTGTTGCTGTTTCTGTGTACAGTGTTCTCCTGTGTGGCCAACTTTTCATACTCGTATGTTTTTCCATTGTTCTTTGGATCATCCATGACTTTGATTCTTCTGAAAAGATGATATTGCATGATTTGCAGTCTTGCAGACTGGAAAAATGTTGGTATTAAAAAGATGGGCTTTTTAGATTTAGTTCTTCTCAGCAATACAATGATCTAAGACAATTTCAAAAGACACATGATGGAAAATGCCATTCACATCCAGAAAAAGAACCGTGGAGTCTGAATACAGATCGAAGCGTACCATTTTCTCTCTTTTTTCTTTCTTGTGGTTTTCCCCCTTTGTTCTGATTCTTCTTTCATAACATGACTAATGTGTAAATATGTTTAATATGATCATATATGTATAGCCTATATCAGATTACTTGCCGTCTTGGGGAGGGAGGAGAAGAGGAAGACAGGGAGAAAAAAATTTGGATCTCAAAATCTTATAAAAGTGAATGTTGAAAACTGTCTTTACGTGTAATTGGAAAAAATAAAATACTGTTAAGGTTGGGGGTGGGGAATAATTCTAATACTGTATAAACTATTTCTTTAAAAAGGAATAGTTTTTTTAAAAAAGATGGGCTTTTGTAGCCATTTGGAATCATTTTGGGAGCCATTTAGGATCATTCTCAAGTGTGGTCTGACCCAGTCTCTCCTCTTCAGTTCTGGGCCCAGTTCATTGTTCTTCTGCAGTGCCTTTCCAAGATATGTGTAGGGGCCAACTAACACCAACCACATGTCTTCATCTGAGCAGTGTGGGTTCTTCATTTCGTTTTTCCAGTGTCAGTCAGTGGCTGCTTTTTACACTGGGAAAGTCAATCAATTGACAAATGTTTATTAAGCACCTATTAGGTGCCAGATGCTGAGGATGTAGAAACAAAAATGAAACAGCTCCTGCCCCTGGGGAACTTTCTCCTGTTCTCCTGGGCAAAACAGAGTGTGCACAGGTAAGTCAATATAGGACATAGCAAGGAAGTGGCTTCAAGGGTCGGGGGGATCCAGAAGATCCTCAAGGAGGAGGTGGTGCTGGAGCTGAGCCCTTGAGGAATGTAGAGAGCCTGCCTCCAAGGCAGGTTTGAGGAGGAAGTGCGTTCCAGGCCAAGGAATGGCCTGCTCTTATGTTATTAGTAATAATAGGTTACCCACTGAAGATTGACCACCAGATGTTGAATTTTTAACCACAGCATCTAAGGGGTGAAGAGGTTGTAATGTATATTCTTGGAAGGGGTGAATGACAGATCTCTTGAAGTAGTAATACCATGCTTTAGAATGTAATCTTCTAAAAATCATGGACTTAAGGGTAAATTGATTTTCTACTAAAATTAATGTTAAAAAAGTCCTATTTCAGGGGCAGCTAGGTGGCGCAGTGGATAGAGCACCGGCCCTGAAGTCAGGAGGACCTGAGTTCAAATCTAGCCTCAGACCAAACACTTGACACTTACTAGCTGTGTGACCCTGGGCAAGTCACTTAACCCCAATTGCCTAAAAGCAAAAAAAAAGTCATATTTAATGCCTGTAGACTATGTGCAGGGTTTTATTTTTTTTTTATATTTGGAACTGAGACTGAAAGTTCTGTAGGAAAATTAGTAGAAACAATCTCACTTTGCTGAAATGTCACTTAGCTTCCATCCAGCCCCCTCCACATGATCAGCCAAGATAATCTATGTGAAGCACCTTGCAAATTCTGAAGGACAGCTGTGTTTCCTCATACTTTGGTGAAGTTTTGCAGAGTTAATGACAGGCAGGTTAGTCAGCACTCTGGGGGAAAAAAGAAGAAACAAAAACTGGCGAAAAGTGTAACAACCAGAGTTGACATTCTGAGTAGAGTGCTTTCCACCTTTCTTCTTTCCCTTCTTTTTTTCTCCTTCCACAAATAACATGTTTGCAGTGTTTAGCTTTGATGATTTGTTGTCCTTGCTGTTTTCATTTTAAAAATTAATACTACGCTTTCTCATGACAGTCTTCATAAAGAAATTACAGTGTGTTAGATTAGGATAAATATTAAGTTCTTTGAAGCTGTTTTGTTATTGTTTTTTTCCAAAGTACCTCTATGCATTCAGTATCCTCCCACTTAATCTGATGAATGTGGCAGAGCTTGTGAAGCAGCCGCCAGATGTCACTGAAAACCCATACAGAAAATCTGGGAAGGAAGCATTGTCAGGCAAACAGGGCCTGGCTCCACAGGTATTCTCCTTTGGGTAACATGCTCAGGAGGGGAGAACTGTCTCCCATGGGTACTTGCTTTCTAGGAGAGACTTTGGGCTGAGAGGTCAGGGCAAGGCCAGATGCAGACAAAATCTATGTAATCCAGATCTCACTTTCTAGGAACGTTTTTGATCATCAGTCAGTCCCAATAGTTTGGGCAATTCAAATTAAGTTCATATTCAGCTTAATTGTGATTTGGTGCTGAGATGTGTGGAATTATCCAGCCCAATACTGAGTCCATCTCTGGCTTTCCCTGAGCCAGACCCTGTTATTTATGTTCATGGAGACATTCAACTCTTTGGTTGTGAAAGAAATAGAAACATGAATAAGATGTGTCCTTGCCTTTAGGGAACTTAGACTGTAACAGCTCTCTAGAGATGTTTCAACACTTGATAGATTTCATGGGAGAGATGGTACTTTCAGGTTTGGGACTAGAGAGGAGGATCAGGGAATGTTTCATGTCATCTGAGTGAGGCTGTGGAGGGTGAATAGTCAAGAAACATCTATTAAAGCACCTACTCTGTGTAGACACTGTGCTTAGTACCAGACAGAAGACAGGGCCTGCTTGCAGGGAACTCATAGTCTGATAGGAGAGACGACGTGCAAACAAGATATAGACAAGACAGATTGGAGATACTTTTGGGGAGGAAGACACTAACATTATAGGGAATTGGGAAAGCCTTTTTGTAGAAGTGGGTATTTTAGCTGGGGCTTGAAAGAAGAAATGAGAAGGAAGAGCACTCCAAGCATGGGGGAATGAATGGAAATGCACAGTCAGGAAATGGGGTGTCTTGTACAAGGAAAACCCAGGATCACTGGATCTGGAAGGTTGTGGTAGAATAGTGTCATGGAGGCTGGGGAAAGTAAGTTGTAAGAAGACTAGAAAGGGAGGAGAGAACCAGATTTTGAAGCACTTTGGGTGCCAAATGGAAGTTATTTGGTCTTAGAGGTGATGGTGAGCCACAGGAGAGTGATTAGGTTGCAGAGAAGTCTAGAAAAATGAGGATTGAAAAAAGGCCATTAGATTTGGCAATTAAGAGATTATTAATAACTTTGGAGATAGCTCTTTTAGTTGAATTATGAGGTCAGAAGCCAGGCTGCAGAGAATTAAAGAGAGGGAGAGGATTATAGATAGTCTTCCCAAGGAACCACCAAAGGAAGGAGAGATAATGGGACAAAAGCTAGTGGGGATCAAGTGAAGGATTTTTTGAGGATGGGGGAGAAATGGAAATGTTTGTAGGCAATAAGAAAACAGCCAGACAGGGAGTGATTGAAGAGACGTGATAGAATGGGATGATAGAGTAGGTAATCTTCTGGAGAAGAGGGGGTAGAACAGGATCACCTGTGCATATATAGACAGGCTTGGCTTAGCAAGAAGATGGACCACCTCACTATTTGAGACAGGGCTGAAGGAAGAGAGAATGGCAGATTTCAGGTAGGGTTTCAGTAGGTAGAGATTTAGGGAGTGGAGTGATAAAGGGAGATTTCACGCATATGGAAGCATGTGACAAAGGCACCAAAGTGGGATAGAGGAGTCGAACTGGTAGCTGTTTGTGGCCAGAGGATTGAGGTTGCAGGAATCTGGAAAGGTGTGAATAGAAGGAGCATGGAAAGGCAAACAACTGTTGTCGCTAGAATAAGCAGAGAGGGCAGGAGAAAAGAGAAGGAAGGCAGCAATATCTTTACAAATGTCAGAGCCAACTTTAGTTCTAGCGCTCTGCTGAGTAAATGTCTGTTTGCATGTTTTTTGGACTTCACAGGAAGAACCAGCTTGTCAGTTTTTCTTTGATTTAAGCAAAAAGCAGGGAAAGAAACGTCAGTCCACTGGGGGAGACAGCAAGGGTGTTTCCCCCAAGCAACCTCGGAAACCATGTAAGTATCATACAACTGGGTAATAAGACAGTAGCTTATATCTGTGATACATAAGGGAATCAGTGTTATACAACAGTTATATGAAGATGGAAAAGGAAAGTCATTACCAAAGGTGGAAGGGATCTTCCAGTTCTTCTGGTCCAGCCCCTTTGTTTTACATTTAGATATAAGGAAACTGAGGCAGGCAGTGACAGTGTTGCCTTCTCTTTGAATAGCAGCCTACTCTGGCAACAAAGCCTTTGGAAAATGAAGGCCTGGGCTTCATGCTTCATGCAGGCCACAGTGGGGTAACCTGAGATCAGACTGGACTGCCCTCTACAGGATAATGAGTTACTCTAGTGTTTGGGCCATCATAACACTTATTTGTGTTTCAGTTTGTTGTTTGTTTGTTTGTTTTTTTCCCCAACATGAAGCTCAGCCCCTGGGTCCCTGCTGGTTCTGTCTTGCCAGTCCTGAAGTGGAAAAGCATTTGGTGGTCAGCATTGGCACACATGTGAGTCCCTTCTCCCTTCAGCCTTTTATAGACGCTGTAGAGTTTTGTGAAGTTATATTTCACAATGTTCTTTTCTGTTTTACATGGTCAGATTTGTCTGTCTTTTACGACCTTCTTTGTTTCTGTTATTTCTATCCCATCATAGATAGTCTTTTCTAATCATTTTATGAGATGACCCTGTATAGTCATTTTGACCAAATAATAGAACGTATGCAAGCACTTGGCAAATCTTAAAACATATAAATGCTCACTATTTCCATTATATTCATAGCCCACATCTATTTTGAGTTCGTTAGGGTATATTGTGCAAGGTCTTAATCTAACCCTAATTTCTGCCAAACTCCTCTTCAGTTTTTTTAGCACTTCGAGGAGTGGCTATGGTTTATGATCCAGAACAGATGCCCACAGTCAGAATTCTAAATTCTTGTGAGCTCTTACTGAGGAGTCTCTGAGAGATGGCTGGCCTGCTTATTTCCTTGGTGATAGTCCTTCCAACTAGTCTCTTCAATGGCTTCTGTAGAAGAACAAGGATTCCTAACTCTTCTGCTTTTGCCCTTCCTTTCCAGTGCTACCTTGCCCTGGCCAAAGGTGGATTATGTGATGATCATGTTCTGATCTTGCCCATCGGCCACTACCAGTCAGTGGTAGATCTTTCAAGAGAGGTGGTGGAAGAAGTGGAAAAGTACAAGTGTGCAGTGCGACAGCTCTTTAAGAGCAAAGGGAAGCGATGTGTTCTGTTTGAGAGGAATTATAAGAGTCATCACCTCCAGCTACAGGTGGGGAAGTATGGTCCAACACTGAAAGGGAACCCCAGATATCCCTGGAGGGACCCAGATTCATACGTGCGTTCATTTAGCCCTGGGGTGGCCGCTCTGTAAGACGTAGTCCGTGCTTTCTGGGCTTCTGCTCTGTTGGCAGCATTTTGTTGGGTCTGTGATAGTTCCAGAGAAACCCCCGGAGCATTAGTGGAGAAAGAAAAGAGACGGTCTGCCCTCTTGACTGACACTCTTTTGGGGGACACAAGGATCACATGAATTAAAAAGTCAGTAGTCATGAAGTAACAGTAGGAGAAATGTCATAAAAGGGTGTGTGTTAAATGCTAAATACAGACTAATACAGCCAATAAAAGTATTATGGGAAGACTTCAGAAAAAGATGGTATCAGTGTGGACTGGAGTAGTCAGAGAGACTTTGAAAAGGAAGTAGGGCGTGAGCTGAGCATGGAGAAGACTTGTTACGATGGGGCTAGGAGAGGGCAGGAATTTATGTGGGGACCAGTGTAAGCCAAGTAGGAAGGCGAGAAGCCATCCAGCAGGAGCTCAGAGCGTGGGTAACTAAGCCAGCTCAGCTTGTTGACGGGCTGTGGACCTAACCAAGGTAATGCTGAACAGCTGTTACTGAGTAAGGCAAGGCGTTGAGGGGGATACAGGCTAAAGGCATGGACTCTGCCCTTGTCACAGTCTGCTCAGGGAAATAAGGTGCTTGTAGCAGTGTGGTAGTTTTCTTTCTGGCCAGTTTGTTAAGTGTCAAATAGGCCTGACTCTGCCACATAGATAACACAGGAGCGAGCAGTCTTGGGCATGGGCAGGCCATGTCTGAGCCTCTCCCCACTTCAGAGATTACTGTAGCTCCCACATGCAGTGCTTCAGCTCATGAGTTTAAGTCTTAACAGAGAGTCCACGGAGTGTGCACTCTCTGGGATGAGGAGAAGCTGTACTGAGGGGTGTTTCTTCACCCCTGTGATGTGTTTGTTGCTGGCCTCCTTTCTGGGGCCAAAGCCGGTGGCATCTGCTCTCCCCCCCAGCTTGTTCCTGTGCCCTCAGCTGCTGCACCACTGATGACATCAAGGAGGCCTTCGTCGTCCAGGCCCAGGAGCAGCAGATCGAGCTGCTGGAAATCCCAGAACACTCAGATATCCAACAGGTGAGGCCCTAGGCCCCTCTCCCTTTATGTGGCCGGGGGCTACCCTGTGCACGGGCACCCTTTTGCTCTGAATATACTTTGAGAAGCAGGAAGAGCACACAAGCAGGTCTGATAGTGCTCTAAGAAGTGGTCTTAATACGGTGAAGAGGGGACACTGATTGTGCCAGGCTCAGGGTGTGGCTGCAACCTGGATGTGCTTAGATGGGGCAGCAACACAGTGTCTCCCAGCTGGGTCTCTGGTGATTGTTGATTTACTTTTGTCATTGTCTCAACTTTGCCTTGGAGTGGTAGTGTGGGATAGATAGGGAAGACAGCAGAGAAGCCAGTAGTCAAAAAAAATATGTCAAGGCCCGCTACGTGCAGGGTAATGTCCTAGGCACTCTGGGGACATAAAGAACATAGTTCACAATACTGGACCATATAGGATAAGAGCCAAAGGAGAAGAGTGCGCTGGAGTCGGAGGAGGCTTCCTAGAGGTGCAATGTGATGCACTTCCTAGAAAAGGGCCTTGATAGATGAGTAGAGTTCAGATGAAGGAGTGGAAAGGACCTCCAGGCAGGGCAGGGTAGAAGCAGAGTTGTGGAAGTTTAGATATTCATGGTGTTATTTGTTGGATACTTTAGAAGACGAGTTTCATAAGGCGTGTTTGTGGGATGGTTAGGAATCTCGCTGTAGCTGAGGATAACAGATAGGGTTCAAAAGACAGGAGACAGCTTGTGTAGAGTTTGGATTTTATCCTGTATGTACTAGGGACTCACTGAAAGCTCCTGAGCAGGGGAATAACATGAGGAAAACAAACAGTCTGCCCTCTTGGGAGACATGATCACATGTATAAAAGTGAACAGTTGTGAAGTAACTAGTCATAAAATGATATGTGCTGACTGCTAAATATAGAATAATATAGCCGATAAAAGTATTGTGGGAAGTCTTCAGAAAAGTTGAGCTCCGTATGAACTGGAATGGTCAGAGAGACTCTGAGGAGGCGGAGCTTGAGCTGAGTGTGGAGAAGAACAGCTAAGATTGTGTCAGGGGAGAGCAGTCATTTATGTGGGGACCGGTGTGAGCCAAGTAGGAAGGCGACAAGTCATCCGACGGCAGCTCACAACTTGGGTGACTGAGCCCGCTTAGCTTGTTAATGAGCCGTGATGTGAGGAAGGTCGGTCAGGTGGCAGGGGGTAGGAGAGACGGCTGTCTGGGAGACCAGGTAGAGGACGCAACACCAGTCCAGGCGGGGCCTGACCAGATGCAGCATCCGTGGGAATGGAGAGGAAGGTCTGTGGGTGAGAAAGCTTGTAAGCCACATTCCCTTCATATTCACAAACTCTTACTGCTTTTGAGCGAGCCACTGAGTCAGGGAATACGAAAATCAGTCCCAGTTCCTTCCCTCAAGGACGTTTCTATCTAATAAGAAGCATAGGATTATAAATTTAAAACTGGAAGGGATCTCAGCAGTCATGTGGTGCAACCCTCTTTTTGCAGAGGAAGAAGCGGAGGCCCAGAGAGACTCAGTGACTTGCCCAAAGTCATGCAGATAGCAAGAAGCAAACCAAGAGCTCAGAGTCCAAATCCAGCAACACCTCCTTAGAGATGGCATATACACAGATAGCTCTGATACAAAGGAGCTGGAGGTGTGTGAGAAGTACAGCGTGCAGAAGAAGGAGGGGCCGCTTCTGTTTTGGGGGAGCCGAGAAGGTCTTCGTGGAGGCTGGCTTTGATCTGGCTTTGAAGGGTGGCCAGGAGTGTTAGTGACAGAGATAGCAAAGAGGGCATGCCCGGCATAGGAGACAGAAAAACTTACAGGATCTGTTCGGGGAGTGGTGGAAGCAGAATGTGTCACAGAATTTCAGAAGTTAGAAGGGACCACAGGGGCATCGAGGCCCACCCATGGCCCAAAGGAATCTTTATTAGAACATACCCAGCAAGTGATCTTACAGCCTCCGAGGAATGGAAGCTCACCTTTTCCCAAGACAACCCATCCCGCTTGTGAACAGCTCTCAGTGTTAGAAAGTGTTTTCTGTTGTCAAGCCTCAAGTTACTTCTGAGGACTTTCACCCATTGCTCCTGCTTCTGCCCTGTGGGACCAGACAGACCAAATATACTGCCTCTGCCACATGGCATGCCTTTAATTTTTTTTTTAACAACTCTCCCAGATGTCTTGTTCTAATCCCTCCCATGCCCCAAAATCTTTTCTTCTCCGAGCTAAGTAGCATCCTCTGGATGCTGTCCACTTTCCTTCTTAATCTGGTGCCCGGAACTGTCCACAGTAGTCCAGATTTGGCCTTATCGGGGCAGAATTTCAGCCTTTCTTAATGTATTCCACTAGAACCCCTAGTTTTTTTCAGATGGACTTCAGTCTAATTGTGACTGCTCCATCATGTACTTGTGAAATTAGTTTATTGAATCCACTGTCAGACTTTACACTTATCTTTCTCAGGTTCAGTTTAGTACTTGGCCTTTTAATACCTTTTTGTATCCTGATTGTGTCATCTAATATGTTAGCTGTACCTCCCCAGCTCTGTGTCATCCACAAACTTAATGAAAGTGCCATCTTAGCCTTTATCCAAGTAATCGATAGAAATGTGAAACCTCGTAGAGGAGCGCAGATTGATTCTGGGATGCTCTACTAGGCCCAGGTACTGAGTAGACATCCGAACCGTTAATAACTCTTTTCTGAATCTGGCAGTTCATCCAGTTCTAAATTCGTCTAATTGTCCTGTTGTCTAGTCCACATCTCTCCATCTTTTCCACAAGAATAGCATGAGATATTTTCTTAAATGTTTTGCTAAAATCTAGGAAAACTATATGCAGCATTCCCCTGATGGGCTAGTTTCATAACTGTCAGAAGGAAATGAAGTTTGTCTGGCATAATCTATCCTTTATAAAAGACATGCTGGCTCTTTATAATAGCATCTTTTTCAAGATGTTCATCAACCATCCTTTTAATGATCCATTCTAGAATTTTTCAAGGAATCAAAGTCATACTAATGTTAAATTTGCAGGCTTAGTTCTCTTTACTTTTTTGAAAATTGGGACCACATTATGCCCTTCTCCAGGTCTGTGGTTCCTCTTCCATCCATCATCATTCAAATATTGGTGATACCTCACCAGTCACATGTGCTCATTCATTTAATACCCAACGATATGGTTCGTCTGGGCTGGGTGACCTGAATTCATTAAGAGTATTTTCTCTTGGGGCAGCTAGGTGGCACAGTGGATAAAGGCTTGGAGTCAAAAGAACCTGAGTTCAAATGTGGCCTCAGACACATGTTACTCACTAGTCGTATGACCCTAGGCAAGTCACTTAACCCCATTGCCTCACAGTAAATAAATAAATGAATGAATGAATGAATGGAATATTTTCTCATACCTTATCTGTCAACTCCCTATTGGCCATTTTTGTCCTGCCATTTCTAATGCAAAGATCATTCTACGTGTAGAGAGAATGAAAACAAGAGGTTAGCTGCTCTGCCTTCTCTCTGTTGTCAGTTATTGTGTCCTGGTCACTGTAAGCAGTAATCCTGTGCCTGCCATGATCCTCTTCCTTTTTCTCAATGTGGCTTTAAAAAAAAAACTTTTGTTGTTCGTCATTTCCCTAGGCAGCCTCAGCTTTACCACTATTGACACTATATTTATAGGACTAGGTCATGGTTTTATATTCATCCTCTGTGGCTCACCCTTGTTTCCGTCTTCTGTCCCTTTCTTTTTAAAATATCACCACTCTTACTGCAGCCTTTGTATCGCCTTTGATCTGTTTCTCTTTCACAGCTCTGCATCCAGTTAGTTTCCAAGTCCTATCTGTTCCATTTCCAAGGTATCTGTTGTGCCCGTCCCTTCTGCATCCCCTAATCCAGGCCTTCCTCTCTCCTTTTGCCTGGACTATTGCAGTATATCCCTAACTAGCTGGTCTCCATCTCCATCCTCAGTCCACACCGATGTGTCCTTCACACAGGTGCCAGATCAGTATCACAGAAGGAGAGCTCTGCTGGTCAGCCATCCTGTGGTCCTGATGCTTAATCAAGTTGGAACCCAAGCTCAGCATTTAAGACTTACAGTCTGGTTCCACTTCACTGCCCCAGTCTTCTCTCACCAGATTCCTCTTACATGCCCAGAGTTCAGGCTACAAGCAAGAAGTGCTAGAGGTCCTAACACAAGAAGGAAATAGGAGAATTGTCTGAAGAGGCTGATATGCATAAACAGGGAACTGGCCAATTAATTTAGATTTTGAAGTGATATTCAGCTGTCAGATTGATCTTCCAAAAAAGCGTGTCTGACTATATCACCCACACACCCACCCCCATTCAGTAAACTCTAGTGGCTAAATGTCATTTCCGAGATCATATATGAAATGTTCTGTTTGACTCTTAAAGCCCTTTATCATCTGGCCCTACTTACCTTTGCAGTCCTCTTACTCTTTGCACCAGACCCTCCCACATATTCTGTCTAGTGACACTGGTAACAGCAGCTAGGGGGCGCCATAGTGCACAGAGCACCAGGCTGGAGTCAGGAAGACTCATCTTTCTGAGTTCACGTTGGCCTCAGGCACTTACTAGCTGTGTGACCCTGGACAAATCATTTCATCCTGTTTGCCTCAGTTTCCTCATCTATAAAACGAGCTGGAGGAGATGGCAAACCACTGCAGTGTCTCTGCCAAGAAAACCCCAAATGTGGTCCCGGGGAGTCAGACACAACTGCAACCAGCAGCAGCAGTGACGCTGGCCTCCTGACTGTGGCCTACACAAGAGGTCTCAGCTTAAGTCCTGCTTCCTGCAAGAAGCCTTTCCCAGGCCTCCTTGAACTCAGTGCCTTCCCTCTGAAGTTACCCAGACGGGGTCCTGTCTGTATCTTGTTCGGCTGTACCTGGTGGCTTGTCTTCTCCCTTACTAGACCACAAGCTCCCTGGGGGTGGGACTGTTTAGTCCCTTTTTTTTGTATCCCCGGTGCTTAGCACATAGTAGGTGCTTGATAAGTGCTTTTTGACTGTCTGACCAACTGACACTAGGACGTCTGTATAAATATGTTCAACGGGCAGATGGGTAGTGCAGGCCTGTGTTTCTGGAGGAAGATTGGGGCTGTTGCAAGAGATGAGTTCAGAGCAAAGGCCTGGTCCTCACGCTGGAACTGGACTCTCTGAGGGAGCATGTGAGAAGTGGGGACCCCAGCTCTGTCACCAGTCTTACAGTGTTGCTTTGCAATAACCAGGGGAATGATTGTCCTTGTTGAATAGCAGAATTCAGCTTCCAAGAGCTCTGGGCCGGTTTGTCTCTGCCGTTGTTGCACTTACTTCAAGAACTCTCTTTGTCATAGATTGCACAGCCTGGAGCACCATATTTTTACGTGGAGTTGGACACAGGAGAGAAACTTTTCCACAGAATTAAGAAGAGTTTTCCTTTACATTTTGGAAGGTTTGTCTTTTTTTCATTTATTTTCATTTTTCACCACCACTTCATTGGGCACATTTATGTGTTAAGCACTCACTTCAGGGATACAGAAATGAACAGGGCAGAATCCCTTTCTTCAGGTGGTTTCCATTTCAGTAGGAGAGACCATATGTAAGGCAGTAGCTGTAATCCACAGCAGAAGCGGATTGTGGTAAGATCATCAGAAATACCAGCCAGGCAGCCAAGTGGAGAATGGGTTCAGGTAGGGAGAGACTTATGGCAGGGGAGACCATTAGGAGGTTATTGCAGTAGTCCAGGTGAGAGAAAATGAGGGAACAAGGGTGACTGGAGGACAGGATCTGGAACTGAAAATGAAATACAACTGAATATTTATAAATGGTAATGAGGGCCTGATCTGAGGCTGTGGCCATAGGAGTGGAGAAAAGAAGACATACAGGAGAGATTTTTTGAAAGTAGAAATGACAAGATTTGGCAGTGGCTCAGGAGAGACGGAGGAGTTGAGGATGACATTGAAGTTGTAGGTCTTGATGTCAGAGTGGATGGGAGTGCCCTTGACCCCAGTAAGGAAGTCTGGAGGGAAAGAGAATGAATAACTTCAATTTGGGGCATGTAAATAACTTGTCCTCCTATCTAATATGCTAAATTGTGCAGTAGAGGCAGTGAGTATATAATAAGTGTTCAGAGAAAGAGAGACTGTAGGTTTGAAGATTTGAAGATTTCTGCTAGAAGACGGGCAGCATGGGCTAGTGCATGGAGAACAGGACCAGGAGTCAGATGTCTTGTCCTCAGTTTACTCATCTGTAAAATGGAGGAAATGTGCATGGTGGTTGTGAGGGTCAAATGATATAGTCTACGAGCCACTTTGCAGAACCTTTAAAGCACCATATGTAAATGTTAGTGATGATGATGATGATACTGCTCTACAGACATCAAAGGAGAGTAATCATTAACTTCCATTCCTTAGCATTTATTAAGAGTAAGGCCCTGTGCTAAATAAGCCTCTGACATACAGAGGCAAGATGGACAATAGTCCCTTACATTTGGCTGGGGACATAGCACATAAACAGGTGAGTTAATGCGCAAGGAAAGAAAGAGCATGAACACCAAAGATGTGTTCTTATTAGAAAAGGGGAAAGAGAAAGGAATAAGTATTTATTATGTACCTGCTGCATGCCAGGGGGCTATGCTAAGATTATCTCATTGATCCTCACAACAATTTGGGACATAGGTGCTGTTATTGTCCCCATTTTACAGGTGAGGAAACTGAGACAGAGGTGAAGTTAACTTGCCTGGAGTCACACCGCTAGCAACTGTCTGAGGCTGGATTTGAACTCAGGTCTTCTTGATTTTAGGCTTGGAGTTCTCTCCTTGCTTTGGAGGAATTAGGGATCCCCAGAGGCAGAGATAAAGAGAGAGCATTTCAGGCATGAGAGACAGTTTGTGTCAGTGCCTGAAAGTCATAGTTGGACATCATGTACAAGGAACCACAACGTGGCCGCTGGAGCTGGAACATCAGATGCATAGGGGAAGGGGACATATGTGCTGGAGAGGTGGTCAGAGTCAGATTGTGAAGGACTTTGTTTAAAAGTCAGAGGAGATTGTATTTTCTCCTGTGAGGCAGGAGAGATCCTCGAGCAGGCAATGACATGCCTGGGTGTTAGGGTACCGAGGTGGGTTATCTCAGTAGGTCTGTGAAGGAGAGATTGACAGCTAGATACCAGTTGGGAGGCTGTTGGAGCGGAGCAGGTGAGAGGGGGTGCTGGAGAGCTAAGGTAGTGGCACTGGGATGACAGGGCGAGAGAAGTTACTGAGGTAGAATCAGCACAACTTGGCCCTGACTCAGATAAAGGGCAAAGGTGAAGAAGGAAGAAGTATAATCGTGGGAACTTGACGAAATGTCAGTTAGTAACCCCGCTCTCCTTGAGAAGGCCATCAGGCCCTGGATTTTTGCTGTGGCTCTTCAGTGAAAGCTGGTCTCTCCAGAAGGATCAGCCTAGCCACATGCAGTGGCACACACGAAGTGAATGAAGAGGAAACAGTGATCAGATTACAGTGGGCCCTCGGATCCTTAACTTGTTAAGTCCATTCGTTCATGCAGGGCATCAGACACCTAGGCTACCCGGGCTTAACCTCAGTATTTTTTCATTGCTCTCTGCTCCTGACAAGATGGATTATACCTTCCCTGGCTGTAGATGATGGTGCATCTTTAAGTGCTATCCAAACATCAGAGAATTGCCATTTCTAGCTAGAAGTTAGGGAATGTTTGATCAAGAAAGCATCAGCCCCCCTCCCCTCTACTAGTGCGTTTAGATTCTTTACCCTTCCATTTAATCCTCTGCAGATATCTTCCCCAGATAGCTCCACTGGCCTCAACTCGGGCCCTATTTTCCAGCTGGCTTCTTCACTTTTTTCAACTGGTTTTCTTGCCTTTACCTCACCATCACTATGGAAAACTGGATTCATTCTTTTTCCTCCCAAACCTGCTCTTTATTTGCCAGACCCTCCCAATGCCACCAACAAAGCCATAGAGTATTTGAGCTGCAAGGGACCCTAGAGGTAACCTAGTCCAGCCCCTGCATTGTACAGATAAATAAAAGTGAGGTGCAAAAAGGTCAAGCAGAGCCTGGACTGGAACATAGGTCTCTTGACTCTCAGTCCTGTGTTTTTCCTATCAGATCACATCCCACTCTCCTCATTCTTCTTATTCATTCAGCCTTATCATTTCTTCCACTTTCAGCCTAGCCCAAATGTTCCCCATGAAATCTATCCCCTCAGCAGGAGGTGACTTCTCCCTTCTGTGCATCCTCACAGGACCTTGTTTATACCTCTTGAACGCACTTATCACATTCTGTGTTCTGCTGTGGTCATTTTTATACATCTCTTATCTCCCGTAGCAGACCAGGAGCCCCTTTCAGGGCTAGGGAGCAGGTCTGATTTGTCTCTGCCCTCTCCTTGGAACCCAGCCCAGGGCCTTAGAAATAGTCCTTTGTGTTGATGAAATGGTTATTGTAGGCAAACATGAAGCCAGTGTGGGTGGAGGGAGAAAGTTTACATTGGTGAGTAATTGGAGTAATGGCCCCTGGGCCTCTCAGCTGAGGCTGCTCTGACATGCCTTGTTCTTTACAGGGAGGTTTTGGCAAGTGAGGCCATCCTCAACATTCCCGACAAGTCTGACTGGAGGCAGTGCCCTCGTAGCCGAGAAGAGGAAGAAGCTCTCGCTCGCTTGTTCCGAAAGCATTTCCAACCCTTTGACTTTGCCCAGGAGGACTGATCGATGAGGAGCCGTTTCCACAGTTCCAAGGTAGAACCAGTGGTGTGTCAGGCTCAGGTTTCCTGGTCCTTTGAAACATATTCTCTGTACCATAAGCCACATCTTTGGTGTTCCCGCCATTGAGAGTTGCCTTGTGAGCAGTGAGGGTTAGAGACATGAGGTTACCTCTGGCAGAGGAGTCAGGATTGCTGTTTGTAGGAATGAAGCAGTTTCCAGAACAAATATCCTTGTCTGCTAATAAACATCTCTTTTATACCTTTATTACAACTAGCTGTTATTAATATTTTGGTATTTTTTTAAAGTACCAAAATAAAATTTACTTTGCTGAAGGGGTACTCAGTGTAACATTTGACTCGTTGGCCAAGGTCATTCTTAATGGAGTATTGAGAAGGCTCTTACCACAAACTAATTGTAGCCCTAGGTTGAAGGAAAGCAAATTACCTCCCTATTTTCAGTGAAGTCCAGGGCAAGAGGAAGGGTGATGTTAGGGCATATCAGGCAGGGATGTTTGTGGTATAGAACTCTGGGAGCCATGGGGAGTTAACCGAGCTGGAAGGTTGGCTTAGAGTGCAAGGGTGTGAGGTCCAGTAACAAACCCAGTCACTTAAGGAAAGCTGTGAGGATTATGGTTCTATTCTGTGCCCAAACTTTTCATAGCAGGAAATGTGGCACCAGTATTCCAGGGACTCATTGCTGGTTATCTGGGCCTGGAGTGGGCTGGCCTGGAGGATGTAAGAGAAGCCAGTTTGGAAAAGGGTTAGCAAGAAGTAAAGTTACTGATGTGAGATAAAGAGGAATAAGCTTTAAAGAGAGAAGCAAAGATTGCAGAATATACTATGGTAGCCTTGAGGCTAAATGAGCCTTCCGTTGGAGAGGAGAGATTTATTATAAAGGGAGACCTTTGGGGAAAGGGCTGGATGGGATGACACGTGCATCCCAGGAAAGAAGGGGTGGCCTCTGGCTTCTGAGGCTGCCTCAGGTGCGTTGACCCCTGGCTTTGGTTCTGTTTGTGGCTGGTAAAACAGTCCATCTTTGCTTCAGGGATGTGGGGCTCTTGCAGTTTAGGAACTATACCATTCTGCTGCCTCATGCAGGCTTATGAGGGAGAACCCAGGTTTCATACCCCAAAAGGACTTTAGAAGTGACACATGGATAAAGTCATTCTGAACTTGGCAAAATGATGTCAGAGGGTACCTAGTGTGGCAGAGATAAGTCTTAGGAAATGAATCTCTTCATCACTAAGAAAAACCTCTCAGCTGTTTGAAGGCAGGGGCTATTTATCTGGTCTTTGGATTCCTGGTGCCTAGCCCAGTACACCGAGGCACGATGTGATTGTCAGGTGGAATCAGCAAGATCTAGACCTGGAGGAAGGCTGATCCTCTGCAGGTGCTTTAGAGAAGAGGCAGGGAAGAAATGCCGGATCCCAAAGGAGATTCTAAAGGAAAGAGGAGACGAGTCCTCCTGCAGGCTGGACCAACACAGCCTGGGGGAGGAAGAGTGTCCATGAGCCACAAAGGTGGGCTGGAGGGTGGTAGAAGGGGCTGTAAGTGCTTAACAAATGCTGCCTGACTAACTTACAGACTGTTCAAACGCAAAGGCATTGTAGAGATCATCTGGTCAGGCCGCATAATAAATACTAGAGTATTTATTTACCCAGTGCTGATCCACTAAAGGGTGTGAACTTTCCATGTTCAGGGCAGGAGGGGTAGGAGAGGGGACTGTGGAGGGAATAACTTGGACAAACTGACCGTTTTCTTTAGACGTTCCCTTTGTCCTTGGGTTCCTGTGCTCATTGAGTCCAAGCCCTGGTCGGAACACCTCCATTGTGTTTAGATAGAGCTTGTTCCAGCTCTATCTTGTTAAAATGCCCATGCCTTTCATTAGAAGTAATCAGCCCTTCCATGATGATGAGCACAATCTCTTCACACTTAGCAGGTGGCCCTCATGGCGTGATATGACCAAAATAAATAAATGTGTGTGGATATTGCAGCATTCAAAGAGGGTTGTAATGAACCTTTTCAAACTAGGCAGGTCCTCAGATAACAGGCACAGAGTCCATTTGCTGTGCCCATACAAGAAGGCTTTCTGTCTTGGTAACATGTGCCAGACTTTACACACGCACACAGCATCTTATATATTATATAAGTATGATATTGTGTGTATATGTAAATGAGGGTATTACATAAGTTTAATGTATGTGTATATTGTGTAACCTTTGAGGGTCACCCACCCACAAGAGAAAGCAAGAACCAAAAAATTGAAAAGGGGGTGTGTAGGAAAAATGCTAGGAAGGTAGAATTTGCAGGATTTGGCAGCTAATTAGATGGGAGGTGGGATGTGAGAGAGAGAGAGGGGAGTTGTGGTGGACACCTGATTTGGGAACCTGCATGACTGAAAGAATGGTGGCAGCCTCCAAAGTTAGGACAAGGGGAGGTTTGGAGGGGAAAGATACTGAGTTCTGTTTTGGACACATCAGGTTTCAGATGTCCAGTACAGCTGGGGATTCAAGACTGGGGTTAGGAGAGAGGTCAGAGCTAGAGAAATAGATCTGCAAGTCTTTATGGTTTAATGCTAGTCCGCCACTGCCCCACCAAAGGCAGAGAGATGGGTTCCAACTTCACTCATTGGGAAACAGTCTTGATTATTTCATTTGTTCTGGATTATTTTCGTGGTATCTTCTGCTAGATCGTTGCACTGGCTGTCTGTATTGTTCTTTCTGCTTTACTTCATCTGTTCATGCAGGTCTTCCCATGTTTCTCTGAATTCCTCATACTCATTTCTTCTGGTACAATAATACTGTTACATACACAAATCACAGTTTATTCAGCCATTCCTTGTTCAGTGGGTACTTATTTTGCATGCATGCATTATTTTGCTGCTACAAAAAGTTCTACTGTGAATGTTTTGCTATGTATAGAAATCTAGTGGAATTGCCACATAAAGGGGTATAATCAGTTTAGTAATTTTTTTTTCACATGGTTTCAGATTGATTGCTAGAATGGTTGGACCAATCCACAGCTCTGCCAGTAGTGAATTAGTGTGCCTATGTGATGACTTGGTTATTTCTCTCCCTGTGATGGTCATCCCCCAGCTTGCCAAATTTCCTCTTAAAATGTGCCCAGAAAAGAACACAACACTGCAAACGTGGTCTGATCAACACAAAATAGAAGTGAATATCATTGCTTTTCATCTGGGCCCTTTTAAAACTAACTCTTCTTTTTTTATTATGAATTTAGAAATCATTAACACAAGTGTGTCAGTATTCAAAATAGAAAAGAGGATTACATATGAATCAAAAAATTTATCTTGTGCAATTTTTAAAGTGTAGGTTGTTAAACAGGATTGTAATAAAATTGCTTTGTATCCCCTTCTGAATTTTTCTTGTTTTTAATGTTTAATGATGCTTTTTCCCCCTACTGTATCACTACCCACTACCTCATCCTTTCCTCTCCCACTTGACAAATTAGTTAAGCAAAATAAATCGACATATTGGTCGTTATCTAAGACCGTGTCTCCCAGTTCTTCACCTGCAGTTCATCGTCTCTCTCTGCCAAGACATAGGACATGTTTCATCATCAGTGTTCTAAAATCAAGTCATAGTCACTGAATTGACCAGAGCTCTTATGTCCTTAAAGTTGTTTTCCTCTGTATGGTTGTGGTCATTGTGTAAATGGTTCTGTTTCTTCTTATTTCACCATGGATCAGTTCCTGCATTCAGTGAATCTATCATGTTTGTCATTTCTTGTGTCATTATTACATTCCACTGTGTTTGCCTGTACACCGGTTTGTTTAGTCCATTTCAGAGGCAATAATCTTGTTTCCAACTCTTTGGCACAGCATAAAGTGCTGATATGTTTTTGTGTATAGGGATCCTCTCCTCTGTTTTTGAACTCTCTGGTGTGTACACCAAGTAGTGATATTGTTGAATTCAAAGAATACACACACTAGTGACTTTGGGGGCATAGTTCTCCATTTCTTTGCTGATTGTTGGACCAATTCACAGCTTTACCAAGAACATATCAGTGTGCCGCCTGCCCTCCCACTGTCCCTCTAACAGTTGCCATTTTCCTCTTTTGTCATCTTTTTCAGTCGGACAGGTGTGTAGTGGAAATCCCATAGTTTTATCTATTTCTTCTTTTATTAGTGATTTGGAGCATTTTTCAAGCTATACTGTCCAAAATCATGTGTCTGTTATTTTAGCGCTTACATTCAACAGTTCCATAAGCATTTATTAATCATCTATTGTGTGCAGTGGAGTGAGGCTACAAATACAAAATAGTCATTGAGTCTGTGTTTCTTTCTAATATCTCCTGTATAGATGCTGGAGGGAATTTCCATGACACCCAGAGCAGCAGCCCCACAGACAGTCCCATGAGAGGCAGTCCTCTCATGGCAGACACACAGACCCTAGAAGTTGTGGGTTGGGATTGAAAAACTTTCCCTGCATGCATGGGACTGGCAGGTGCATCCTTCATATCCTGAGGGTCTGAGGGAAGTGGTTGCAGGTCCAGTAGCCCCATGTAAGCTGAAGGGTGGATTCCTCCATTGAACCTTGTCTGGAGAATGAGTTCACTAAACAAAGGAAGAAAAGAACTATCAGGTGGTGGTGGTGGTGGTGATAGAATCCATTCATTTAACCATTCAGTAGAATAACTTGATTCCCTCATTCCTGCCCCCATGCCTAGTGTTAGGCTCCTTTTAGACCTTGTAAAGACGTGGCTTGGTTGGATTGGTACAGGTGGTCCTCAAATGCCAAAGCTCCCGTTTTCTTCTTTCACTGTCTCCCTCTGGGTGCCTATTTAGGATCTGGTCTTCAGACTCCAAGGAGCTCAGAGCATTCCTAGGCCCTCCAAATCCAGTTTCCCAAATATTCTTTAATTCTCTATAGAGGCAAGGTTAGAGTTTTAAAAAACAGCTATTCTAAGGAATTGAGAGAAAAGTGAATATAATGTAATCCATGTGGCAGTAACTTTGAGACACCAAGAACCTTTGACTTTGACTCAGTGCTTTCAGCTAGATAGCCTGAGAACATCAGGGTTAAATTAAGTACTTTTCCTCAGCCCCCAGATCCACTTAAAAGTGTTCAGGCTCACAAGACTCAAGATATCAGTTTTATTTGCAATTAAGGCATGCACAAAGCTTGCACCCAAGCCTGAAGAGAGTCAATACACCCCCAGTAGGCACCTCACCCTCCAGAGATCTGAGTAATTTCTGTGACTTACAGTACTGCCCTGGGTGGGAATCCAGCAAATGGGGAAATCTGCGGTTTGCTTCTCCACACTGGTACTCCTTCCAAGAGCCACTTTGTGCCATAGTGCTCTTTCCCTGGTAGCTCTTGCTAAGTATCACTGGTTCCCTCAGAAAAACTAAGATTGCTTTCCAATATAACAGTTTTCCCAGCAGAACTCCAAGGATGTTATAGGGGCTGAATTTCCCCAAAGCACTGAAAAGTAGCTCTAGTGGGGTTCACAGATACCGCCCAGCCATAGCTTCCCCTTATAAGGCTGCAGCCTTTGCAGCCAGGTCTTAGAGGGTTTTGCATAGCACCAGAAAGCCTTCAAGAGCTTGATAAGGTCCCAACAGGGATAAAAGGGACCTTCAGGTTCAGAGCTTTCCTCATTAGAGCTCAGGGAGCTAGGGGAGTGGGAAAACACCCTGATTGCTTTGATGCAATAGCCATTAATAGTGTTTGTTTAGGCCTTGGTCACCAACAGGATTCCAGAGGATTTTGTTGTCAGGCTGAGTGAGAGGGTTGTTAATAGAAGCTGAGCTCGCACTTGTCCCTGAGGTTCATAGGGCATAGGAAAACTGCTGGGCCAGGTTATTCCCTTCCCCATACCTAACCCACCAGCTGCGCAGTGCTACAGTGAATAAACCCGGGGAATCGGGAAAGCCAAACACTGAGCACCATCCTTGTTGCCCCAGACATGACTCAGTAGACAGTGGAATTGGACCTAGAGCCACGCCCAGTCTGCCACCCCCCCATCACGTCAGCAGTCCCCCGCAGGTCCCAAGGAGGGCAGCCTGAGAAGACCCATCATGGCTCCACCTCCCAAGCCCACAAGCCCAATTCATGAACTCAGGGACAATTTGCCCATTTTCCAATCTGTTCTGGGGAGAACTTGGAAGAAAACAGCAAGATGTTCAGGAACCATTATGGTTCTGTGTCTGTCACTACCGCCTTCTTCAGTTCATATGCCCAGAAGTGCTACACAAGAGGGAGACGCGGCCAACGAAACAGAGCCCGAGTGACAATAACTTTGAGAAGCCAGCCTTTTCTAGAGCCCCCTGCCCTGGCTCCTTCACCTGCCAGGGCACCAGGAAGCAGTTCCCAGTCCAGTGAGACAATTGACCACAAGAAGAAGCCAAAGTCCCATCAACTGCGTTAGAGGGTGCTCAGATTGTCAGGAAAGCAAATGCCACATGACCACTAAAGCCCCAAGTGAACTAAGACTGGAAGCATAATACTGGCAGTGTCCAGAACTAGGGAGGTGAAGGCACAGCCCACATCATTGTGAACAGCAAATAGCCACCACATTTTAAGAAGGATATTGATAAGCTAGAGGGTGACGTAGGAGGGGTCACTATTATGGTGAGAGGCCTTGAGACCGTGCCATAAGAGGATCATTTGAAGGAACCTGGGGATATTTCGCCCAGCAAAGAGAAGACTTGGAAACATGGTAGCTGTCTTGGGTATTGGAAGGACTCATGTGGGTGGAATGAGAGGGACTGCTTGATGTTGAGGGGTGAGGTGGCAAAATTAGGAGCAGTGAGTGGAGGTTGCAGAATGACCACTTTGAGCTCCGTGGAGGGCAGTCCCAGAACGGAAAGGAGTGCCTCAAGAGAAAGTGGTTTCCTCTTCCTTGGAAGTCTTTGAAGCCAAGGCCAAATTGGGGATTGTGGTGGAGGGGATTCTTGTTCCAGGACGGTGGGACTCGGTAGTCTCCGAGGTCCCTTCCAAGCCTGAGATTCTGTGCAAAGGTGAGCTTGGAAAAGCAGGGGAGCCAATGAGCCCTTTCCCAGCGGGCACGAGCCCACTTCCGGATGCTCTCCAGCTGCAGTCAGCCCAAATGCTGCGCTCTGATTCAGCCTTTCCGCTTATCTCAGTAGCCAAGCTTCTTGCTAGGGATCTGGCAATCCAAGACTGTGTTTCTCTGTTGGAAAGAAAAATCCCATTGGCTTAACTGCATAACTCCTCCCATTTACATAACTTCCCCAATATATTCTCACAACCCTGGAAGTAGGTGTTACCCATTTTACAGGTGAGAAAACTGAGTGAGGCAAGGCAGAGGTGAAATGACTTCTCCAGGGTCACACAGCGGCTGGAATTGAACTCACATCTTTCTGACTTGAGGCCTTGGTGTGCTGTCCGCTGCTGGGCCCCGTTAACATAGAATTACACTGAATAATTTGACATGTTCCTTCTTAGGAAGTTCCTGAAAGGTCAATTCCACAGGCACTTCCTGGTATGCTTACATTCCGGGTCATTCTCATGCATCTTTTTCTGAGTGAGCAGCCCTCTAAGTTTCTAGTAGGTCTCTGAGGTAGCCATGGCATCATGGATCAAGAACTGGCTTGGAGTCAGGAAGGCCTGAGTTCAAGTCTTGCCTCTGGTACGTGTTGGCTGTGTGACCCCAAGCAGGTGACCTAATCTCTCAGTGTCCTAGGCACTGAGCCCAGCAGCTCTTTAAAAGGTAAACAGAAGGTGCCACCCTGCGTTCTACCAATCCAATTACAGATCCGGTCCCTTTTGGCTTGGTGTCTGGAAGAGGGGAAGGGAGGGCTGGTCAATAAGTATTAATTGCTATAGGCCAGATACTTTGCCTCTGAAACACACTCTCCAAGTCCCTTCAGCAGTAGAGAAAGTGCTCCCTTCACATCCCACTCTCCCCTGAACTCCAAGGGAAAAAAAAAAAGAGAGGAGAAGGAAAACAATTGAAGCTGACCTGGTGAAGGGACCAGTTGATTGCTATAAGGGCTGCTCCAGGCCTGGAGCCTATATTGCCTCTGCTCCCATCCTGGCAGGATGTAACCCAGGAAGGGCTGTTCATCATCTCCAGCTCCCTGCTTATTTAAGTTGTAGGTAGGCATGAGCTGCTCAGTGGTCTTCCCCTGTCCTGTGTGGCTGCGCCTCACACTGGCCATCAGTTCCTGAGCCCCCTGAAGAGTAATTATTCCTGCCTGCGCAGCCACTGCAATGTTCAGTTCCCAAATGTGAGACCCAAGGCCATCCTATGGATTCCCCCACACACACCCCTTTCCTACATGTGCCAAACCTGCCAGGCCTTTGAGTCACCAAAGTCTTTTTACCCAGCTGTGAAGAGCCATGGGAAATCCCTGGTTCCCCCAGCCCAGTGCCCAACAAGAGCTTTGGAGGAATGCTTCTGACCCCCTTGCATCCCAACCCAACCTTGAGGCCACTGCTGCTTGCCCCTACCCTGACTCAACCAGAGCTGTTAGCTGGTCTTCTACCAAGTTTGGGAGAACTCTTCCCCCCTCACCCATGTCTAACCAAAGTCTGGGGGAGCTCTTATCTGCTCTCCCCCAGACTGACCTGAACCTTCAAGGAACCTCCTCCTCCCATCTGTACATCTAGTCTAACTTGAGAGATCTCTGGTCCCCCACCTCAGAGCCTGACCTGACTAAAGTGATCCCCTTTGCCCTCACCCAACCAGAGCTGTGGAGCCCTGTGACACTGAGTCTGGCATGAGCTCAAACTCTTCCCAACCCCAAGCCTTGAGGGTTGGGAACTGCCCCTGAGCTGGGCCTAAGCCAAGGTTCCCTATATCCTAAATCTAGCCCTAAATGTCCATGTCCATTGCCCCTCCAATGCTCCTCTCCTCTGCACAGCAAGCTCGCCTTTTCACCTCACAGGCTACAACTTAGGGCATTTTTCTCCCTGCTCCAGCCTGTGAAAGTCCCTGAGCAAACCCAAGCCCACAACCCCCCAGCTGTAGTCTGCAGTGCCCCTAGGATAACAACCTTCTCCCGCCACTCTGGCTCACAGGACTTGCTAGAACGAGCAGCCTCCTCCCCCCTCTGCAGAGCCCAGCCCAACCGACCACCCCCACGATTCTAGAATCCACCAGTCATCCGGCCAACTAACCAGCACTACAGAATCCACCGGGCCAAGCAGCCATCACTAGGGAGAAAACACACTCACATCTGTATTGGAATGCGTGTGCGTGCATGTGTACATATATGTTTGCGCATATACATTTGTGTTTCTATGCATGGGTAGCACCTAGATGCCATATGTAATAACAATAATGATCATAAGGGGCATTTATGTGGCATTTTAAAGTTCACAAAATCTTTTTCATGCTTTATCTCATTTGAGTTTCGCTGTGAAATAGGTATCACAAGGATTATCATCCCCTTTTTGTAGATGAGAAAACAGAAAACCAAAGTAGATCCCAAGTTAAAATATGTATTATAATTAACCCGAAAGGGTAAAGGGCAGTCACATATCCCCTTTCCTGCTGAGTTGTGTGTACCCTTGGTCATTGTGTGGCCATTATCTTTCCTATCCCTTTCCAGAGCCAACACGTGCCGTCACACCAGCCCCAGCTATTCCATTTTGCTCTCCAGGTAAGCTGTTTGAGTCGGAGGCACTTTCTTCTCATCACACTGAGCACAGGTCCTGCCTGTGAATATATCTGCTGGCATCCAGGGCCGCAAGAACCCATGTTGTACCAGGTCCGTTTTCTCATAGTTCAGATGTCTGAAATCATCACAGAGAGTTTTTGTAGACATGCCTTTGGGTGGTACTGCCTTTAGGATGAGTTGTAGTCTGATCCCTCCTCTGTGACATAGTTCCAACTTCTGCTACTCTCTCAACAGTAGAGAGTCCTCAGAGAAGCTGGGCTTGATCCCCCCAAGGGCCATGGCCCTATATCACTTCTTGTACACTTGCATGATGCACCAGAGTTTATAGTCAATTACCCATGGATAACTGGGCCTTGGAATATTGGTCCAGTGCAATAACCTTGGCTTCTACTGATAGCTCCCTCTCTGGAGACTGTGCAAGACTCTCAGCCTCACCCTGTTCCCTTCTTCCACTCCTGGAGATCGCCATAGTTTCAGATACAGGAGCCTATGACACAGGACGTATACATCTACCTTGGTCCTCCCGGAGAGTAATACACCCTACTCATAGTAGACCAGAGCAGTTATCCATCTCCGATTAGTGACGTCCATGGTAGAGGGTGTCAGGATATAGGACAGGGGATTGTTGTCCAGCCATCCTTGGAATTGATCTCTACCTGCCTTGTCTGGGAACTTATCAATTGCAGCTCACTTCAAAACCAAGACCCCCAGTTTGCAGACAGTGTAATAAAGACCACTGCTGGTGAGCATTCTTATTAGCAAACATATAGGTCATTCCTCTGCTGGCATGAAAATTGCACCCTCCCCCCTCAAAAAAAACCCTATCTATATTGGCATGAGTGGCATGTTGGGGATCTGTAAGGATGTAAAGGGCCACGGGCTGTTCATGAGGTCTCACTGACTGGCGAAGGCCCCTCTCGGGTGCTGATCTTTGAGCAAAGGTCGCCTGGTTCAGTGCTCCATTGTATGGATCTTTAACAGTCTTTAACTGCCCTTGTTATTGTATGGTCATTAGCAGTCTATTCTGGGATTGGAGTCAGATAAGTGCACAGGACGTGCATGCACTATCCTTGAGCACAGCATGGGCTATGCGTCATTGTAAGGAGAAAGAGTTCCTGTTATTTTACTATGTAAGTAAGTGCTTTGCTAAAAATAAACAGAGTTGTTTCCATCCTGCCTCCCGCCTCATCAGTGCGCATTCAAGGTAGAAAATCAAGCTGGTCTTGATTCATCAGGTGACTGGGAAATCCTAGGTCCTAGGTAGGCTCTATAGCCAAGTGAACTAGTGGTGCACAACAGTGTCACACTTAGGTTGACAAAAACCAACATTGGCATATGTGTGAGGCAGCTGACGAGTCCTCTGCAATGATGGTTCAGCACAACTCTTCACATTGAACCCCAGAAATGTCTTCAACTGCTGATCCTTCTTCAGACCTGGCCAGCGAAGAAGACTTTTTATCTTCTTGGGATTAGTACCCACCGATGAGATGCTGTGGGGCCCAAGTAAGATTTTCAAGAAAGATGATTAAGAAAAATCATAAATAGAAGAGCAAAGAGTTAATCTGCCCTGGGTACCCCCCCCAGCCAAGATGACTAGGAGAGAAGAATTAGCAGATAGTAGCAAAGCAGAGCAGGTAACTGAGCGGGGGAAATCAGTCAAGCAATGGGGGAAAGCATCCCAACAGATGTCAGTAAATATTTTTTTGTTGTTATTCAGTTATGTCCAACTCTCTGTGACCCCATTTGGGGTTCTCTTGGTAGAACCACTCCAGAAACCGCTGGAGTGGTTTGCCATTTCCTTCTCCTGCTCATTTTACAGGTGAGGAAACTGAGGCAGAGGCCGTTTGCCCAGGGTCACAAAGCTAGTGTCTGAAGCCAGATTTGAGCTCAGGTAGGTGAGGCTTCCTGACTCGGGGCCTAGCACTCTTATCACTGTGCCACCTAGCTACCCCCAATAAATATTTATTAAGTGTCTACTATGTACCAGGCACTATGCTAAGCACTGGGGATACAGAAAGAGGCAAAAGACAGGCCTGCCCTCCAGGACTTAACAGTCTAATGGAGGAGACAACATGCAAACAAATATATACAAAGCAAGCTATATGCAAGATAAATAGGAAATAATTAACAGAGGGAAGGCACTGGAATTAAGAGGGGATGAAGGCTTCCAGTAAAAGAAGAGATTTTAGTGAGTACTTGAAGTCGTGTTGGTCAGTAGACAGAGCAGAGGAAGGAGGTCTCCAGGGAGGTAGCAGTGGCATCTTCAGAAGCAGATATGTGACAGGTGTTCTAGGTTGGGACAGGGAGGTTAGGAGGTGGAGGGAGGGAAGGCGTGTTGCCATGAGAACAGGAGCCAGCTCCCACCAGTGCTGGGAGGGTGTGCCCTGTTGCATGGGGGGATTGGCCTTCATATTTTGCTGTTCTATTAAATTAAAGATCTTTCCTTTGAGTTAATGTACTCCATTTGGTCTGGCAAAAAGTATTGTTTTAGGTCACATGATCTAAACCAAGCTAGAACCTACATTTGAGGAGAATCCAGGAAACGCTGAGAAGCATCGTCTTCCCAAGAAAACAGCCCAGAGCATTTTGAACTTAAGACGTAGTGCCCTTTTGTTGAATGTCTTTCTCAGGCCCTCTCAGACCTTTCATTCTTTAGGTACCAGGGGGACCCTGAAATTGAGCACCTCTGGATATACCCCTGAAAGGCTCAATGGTCCTTTGGTCACTGTGAGTGTGATCTCCATTTTCTTGTAAGTCCTCAAAGAAGGCATAGATTGCCGTGGTATTCAGCTACCAAGCCCTATCTCACTGTCTGCAGGCCTCTGCCAGCATTTTGAATAGGTTGTATTAAGTCAGAGCCATATTCCAGAGGGGTTTTCTGAGTCAAGAGAAACCAGAGATGCAGGTCTGTCATATCACCCATGCCTCCCTTGGCTAACTCCAAACAGACCAGACATAAGCCAGGTATGAACAGTCCTCACTCAGTCCAGGTAGGAGGTTCAAATGTTCTTTTTAAAGTGTTTGGAAGGAGCAGCTAGGTGGTGCGGTGGATAGAGCTCCAGCCTTGGAGTTAGGAGGACCTGAGTTCAAATGTGATCTCAGACTAACTAGGTGACCCTGGGCAAGTCACTTAACCCTGATTGCCTTAGGAGAAAAAAAAAGTGATTGTCCATTGGGATCCTCTATCCAATCCAAAAGAACGCTTTATATCTTCTGTCTTTATTGTCACTTTTATATGGGATGCCATAAGACTAAGTGGAAAAGATCCAGGAAAAGTTAGTAAAACAGAGCCATTGAGGTGGCACAATGCCTGGAGTTAGGAAGACCGGAGTTCAAATCTAGCCTCAGACACTTGCTTAGCTGTGTGACTCTGGGAACCTCTTTTTGCCCGTTTCCTCACCTGTAAAACAGGGAAAATGACAGCACCTGCTCCTTAGGCTTGATGAGTACCTAGCACGTAGCAAGTGCTGTATAAACGTTAGCTATTACCACCCACAGATACATATGCACACATATACATATACATGCATGTGCAAATATGTGTGTGCACACACACACACACACACACACACACACACACACACACACACACACACACACACACACACACCCCTATCTCTCCATCCATACCAGAGCTGTCCAAAAGTGGAATGCCTGCCTTGGGTTATACTGGGTTCCCTCTCTCCAGAGGTCTTCAGTCACAGAGTGGCTAATCACTTATAGAGAGGATTCTTGGTCAGGCAGAGGTGGAGCAGATGTCCTCTGAGAACGTCTTCACTCTGAAATAGTCTTTCCAGGGATTCTCGAGCCTTCCCCAGAGAACACTCAGTTCTGCTCATGGCCACAAGATGGCAGCACAAGCACAGCCTGTGGGTTAGTAGAAGCCTGATGACCAGGAGGGCCATCCCAGAGAGATCTGAAAGGAGGGACTAAAATGAAGGGTGAAAGCTGAAGATAGCTCAGGCGAGAGAAGGAAAGGATGTCCTTCTGAGCCAGAGCCTGCAATATCCTTGAAGCAGCTTGTGACCTGACCAGAGCCCTAGCCAGCAATAATTCAGCAGAGGAAGAGGATGTGAGCTCTATTCTATAGCACTCCGTCCTCTGTTTCCCAAGGAGACCAAAAGCAGCTAGGAAAGGAAAGACTTGGATGAATGAGCATTTGTTAAGCACCTGCTGTATGTAAGGCACTATAATGGGGGATGTGGTGGTGGTAAGGAAACCGAGGCATTAAGAAAAATCTCTAAACTGGTTCCCAATTATGGGAGAAAAAAATAGTGCAAGACGGACTCTTAAAGAATTATTACCTACAAGATACTATGGTAAGTACAAATAAAAAAGACAAAAAAATGACCCAATCACTACCTTCTGGTTTACCTCCT